GAATATCCGTCCGTCTTTCGTGCGAATCTTTAACAAGGTTTCGCGAAAACACTCGTAATTCCTCAAGTAATTGTTTGAATAGTTCAATATTGAAACTCATACCCAGTTTTTTAACTTATTTTACTTATTTACTATCGATCATCAAAGTCATTAATTCGCCACTAGTAATTAATCTGTTTGCACCAAATTACACTTACTTTGACGCGATCTTCTCCCACGTTGAGCTGCTGTTGATTCCGCAAGTACGTGGAGCAGGAAGGAACGCTGGTAGGGCTCCTTGGGACGGGTTCCCGACGAAGATGGTGGCGGTAACTGACTTCTGCTGCTACGGGTGGCATCGCTGTTGTTTTCCTCTTAGACTGCTTCCTGGCTTTGGGATCTCCCAATTTCTCGTACAATTTTGTTGTCCAACCATTTCTTGCAAATCTTTCCCACGAACACGGCAAACAATCCGATTAAGATCACTACGATAGTTATTGTCGTGATCTCGTGCAACGTTAAATTTTCAGGGGTTGCTGATACTGAGTTCTGGACCTCGCCAGCATTGCTGTTTATGACAATGTCTTCCTTGGATTGCTGCGTACCCATTTTTTTCCGGTTGTGTCCTTTTTACGAAAAGAGTTCTTCGATGGCAGGATCTTGGATGGCAGGATCGCCATGTAATAAATGTTGATTTCTTAGGATGGGACCATTTCGAAGAAGACACCCTTAACCTTTTATACCCATTTATTCACTCTCGATGTACAATCGTGACTGCTTATAAATTATCACTTCCTATCCTATATTAGTTGCTGACTTATGCTATATTAGTATTTCGTAATTTAACGCTTACTCTACAATAACTAAATGAATGCTTACTGTACACAACCATGCCAAAAACAACCGAACCGTGATATTGATAGACTGTATTAGTTTTTTCATCAAACCCATCAACTTTTGATCCACATATTCTCACTTCACCATCATTTAATGCATGTTTGAAATTGTTGAGAATATTTATCTTTTTTCAGATTATTATCAACAACTGCAATTGTAATTGTTGGACGTAAAGGCTTTGAAAATACCTTTTTTTTCGCGGCGATTTTACAATTCCAAAAAAATATATTAAAATTTGGATCGAAGCTGACAAACGCATCAAAAGGTCACCTACCTTGTTTTGTTCAGCCTCCTGGGTTGAGGGTTTGTAGACCGCATGCACAAAGGAACCACGTGTCTAAGTTTCGCGACAACAATTCGCGATTGACGTCACACAAGATGGCAACTGCGTTCACTTAACGCCCACCTTAGCGATGTTACCTCTCTGAGGGTTTCTCGATAACTCTGTTCGATAACAGCGCCAACCCCAAGTACCGGGCCCTTTTGCTCGGTACTATGGCGCCTCTAGTGGAAAGTGACCAAAATACACTTGTCAGCAATCCGCGGGAAAACAAACAAAATCGAAACAAAATATTAACAAACTTCGAACCGGAACAGTAATGTGTCTAAAAGGATCTATGTTGGCTATTTCTAGAAACTGTTTTCTTAATTCAAGACATCCTCTTCTTAAAATATCTACATCAGAATTACAATAATCTAAAGTTCTTTTTTAAAATTAAACAAATAGTTTTCTTTTTTGTTTATGCCATTCTAAAAACTCTTGCCTTTCTTTTATTTTCATAGAATTAACGCCATAGTATTTTGTATTTGGTATTTTTCCAATATAGTTCTGATTTTCTGTTGTATTGAAAAATGTGGAAAATAACCTCTTTTAAGTTCTTTTAGACCGAATGTTTTTGGGGAAGTTTTTTAAAGGTCCTTGAACAAAGTTACTACTATCAATAATTCTTAAATTAATTGATTTTATTTCCATTAACATTATTTTAGATCCATTATATATGCAGAAAGGTTATCTTAGCAAGGACTAGCCCCGCCCACCCGCCCTCTGTTTTCTTAGAGGGTATATCATTTACCAAAATCAGTCTTATCTTAGCGAGTTGGCCATGAAAATCCAGTGAGTTTGTTGGAATTTGATACAGAAGAATAAAAATTCCCTGAACTTTTTTATTGAATTAAAGGTTAAAAAATATGCTAGAAATATAAACATTGTTGCCGATACTTTTAGTTTTCAGTAGCAATGACCAAGTTAACGATATCCATTTCTTAGAAAGCATAAAACTTTACGCTATTTAAAACAGTTATTCGGCTTTTTGTAAGTGTTTATTTCATATGTAAGGAACAAACACCAAAATTTCACTTAAACATTGTTTTTATATAAATGGGGGTTCTACATACGACTATTGTCGCATGCCACATTTAGCATATCATCTTTAATTCTCAATCATCAGTTCGTTCTGCTCGCCCACTCTTCTTAGAAATGGAAATTTCGACCTTCGTGACCAGCCTATTTCCATATCTTCCAACTTCTTTTTTCACTTTTCTAAGATTACTAAAAGGGTTGGTAAAAGACAACCTTGCTCTAGTGCTTTGATGGGTTTAGCTTTTCTGAAACATTTTTCCGGCCTTAAATTGAATGATTTATCTATATAGCTATTACTAATGCTTACGTAAGTGCTCTTTATTTGCTTTTACTAAGTACTTCCAAACGTTTATTAATGAGAACGTTCCTATACGCCTTCCCCAGGTCCATGAAGAGTTACAAAAAAAATGAAAATGCTTAAAATTTGGTGCAAAGTAACGACGTGGATGATCTAACTAAAATTATACTTATTTTGTTGTACGTCAGGTGGTTTTTCACATACTACCTTGGTAAATTTAGAAGGAAAGATGCGCAAAAATATCACCCCCCGACAAGCTACAATTCACTCCATTTCCATTATTTCGCTATGAAAATCTGTATCATCACCGTCATTTTCAAATTCAGATTCTGAATCAGATTCACCTAGCGAAATAATTAAAGGAGGTATAGATTCGTACGAAAGATTTCCCATATTTTTTCCCAATCTGCCAAAATAAGTTTTTCACAATGTTTACAAAAATTTTGCCACATGCTTGGAGTACATTTAGAAAGCGCCTCAAGCCATAAATTCTCCACCCTATTTTTTAATGAAGGTTGAAAATTTATATGCTTGTTGTAATAGTTCTTACAAAATCTCCACGCCATTTCAATTGGATTATATTGAGAATGGTACGGAGGTAATCTAAGAACTTCATGGCCACTTTCTCGTCTACCAAATATCTTTTTTTTCCTATTGTTTCTGAAGGGTTTAATCAAATTCCACAACTGTTTCTTCGAAAATTTTTTGTCAAATTCTACACTATGTTTAAAGAGCCATTCCTGCATTTCACATTTTGTACTAGAAAAAGTGGGAGGTTTATCCACCGAACCGAGTGAAACGGTGCATTGTCTAAAACCACCACACATTTTTGGTTCAACTTTGCCAAAGCTGGAATGAGCTGATTAACTACCCAATTTTGAAAAATTGTCCTGTCCATCGTTTTATGATAGTCTCTATCGTTATTTTTTTAATTTAAAAAATTGTTACAACCATCCAAGAACCCCGTTGAACAACCCGCGTGGAGAATAGTAAACCTTGATCCTTCACTTTTAATTTTGGTGGGATTGCTTTTTAGATCAGTATCGTGCACCCAACGACGAATGGACGAACCATTTTGATAGATCCATGTTTCATCCAAATACACGAAAATCAAATTTTCACAAGAATTTATAAACTGTAAATATGTTCTCAAAAAAGTAATTTTGGCTGCAACGACATCTTTTTGTTCACATAGAATTTTGCGACTATTTACTTCCCTGTGTTTATAACCTATTGACTTAAGAATTTTGTATAATGTGATTCGCCCCCCTTTAAATTCCAACTGTTCCCTAGAATATGCCAAAAGAGTATCTACAGTGAAATATTCGTTTTTTTCATTAAGTTGCCAAATTTGTCGTTGCAGGTCTTTCCGAAACATATAATTTGTAAATGAATCCGTTGGTTTTCGCTTGCCAGATAGTGATGTTTTTAAATTTTGGTCCCCTGTTGATAAAATTTTCGCCACAGTTGATGTTCCCACCTATGAGAAAAAAAATTAAATATTTTACAGCGTATTTTTACATTACAAAAAATATGTTCGAGACCCTCATAGTTACTTTTTCGAAAGAAAGATCGGGCCTGTCTTTTCGAAACTGCAAAAAACATCTTTTTATTGCAATTTTTGTTGCAGTTAAACTATTTTAGGCATTTTCTTTTTAAATGATGTCGTAATGATCTGTGAATCTGTCACAATGACAAATTATCTATGAGAACAAAATTAAAACATTTGTTTGCGTCTATTATTAGATCTGATCTAATAAATGAAGTAGAAAAGTGGCAATCTAGCTCAAAGCAAATGTCAATCAGACTACTGACAGACAAAAAACTAAGTCATCAAATCAGTTTATCCAACTTAAAGCAAAAATATCAAAGCCTACTTTACTATATAAAGATCGTGAATGGATAATATTTATCCTTCAGTAGCGTCTAAAAAGGTTGGATAAGGGTTAATTTTCCCTTTATAATTTTGATAACACAAAATAAGTTTTTCAGACTTCTTAGACTTCGCGAATAACTGTCAATTTTGTTGTACGTACCTTTCAATAACACCCTGTATAGTAAATCAGTATCGAAATTTATTTTGTTCTTTCAAAAAACTCGATGTCATCTTCTTTTTGGAATTTATAGTATCAGATACTCTTATTGGTGGCTTAACAAAGTATTCGTTTTCAAATTGTAAATAAAAGGGTGATAATTTTAAATTATGGGAAAACACCTGACTATGTAGTAGGCGTAGAAAAAAAAAGGCCGCTCATTTAAAGTTTAAAATAGGGTTTTGTTATAGAAATGCTTTTATAACTATGAATTAAAGCCACTTTACGATTATAAAATTGGGAATAAAGGTAACTAATAAATATCTCTAGGAACTACTATCAATTTATAAGTACATACATAGTTGGCTGCATTCTTTATTTTTAAATTTTATTTATATTTATAAGGAATCTTTGTGTAGAATGTTTCTTGTAGGGGTTCCTATTCACGATCCAAGAGTGCGTTGACCAGGAACTAAGGCTTATCGCAATAAACGGTATGAACCACTCATGGAAGAAGCTCCAGAACTATAACCCCATATCAGGATTCAGTTGGTTAGGGATTAAACACCTAATTTAAGTGTGGAAAATCTAACCAATTTTCGTTATAGCTTGAAAGGCGTGTGTATGGAAAACGGGATTCTAGTAGCGTATTACTCTGAAGGAATTCTTTGTTGGAATGCACAAACTGGAGAATTAATAGTTGAAGAAGTACCGAACGAATGTGAATATATTCCTTCTGGGAAACATGTGATAATGATAGTTAATGATAATATTATCGTTAGGCATTCGTTAAGTCATTTAATAACTGATTTGTAGTTATTCAGTTCTATTACGTTGTGTTGTTTTGTTGACTGATTTTTTTTATGTAAAAGTTTTTTCTTCGTGTAAATAGTGTTCAGTTGCCATTTTTATTAATTATATAATTCTATGTATTATAACAAATTTGCTATTTTGAATAACAGATTTGTCTCTCAAATAAAATATTTTCTATAGAATCATGTTTTTATTTACATTTAATAAATGTTTATTGCTCATTATGACGTTTATTTACCCAAACTAAAGAATGCAAAAAATATTTATATGCAAAAATAACATGCAATTAATACTTGGGGATATGTCTAATACTTAGTCTTCGAGGGTAACATTCTTGAACAAATATGACATAGATTCCTTGTTGTGAATTCTTCTTATAGCTTCAGACAACAAAATCGAGATATCCACAGTTTTGATTTTATGGCACTGCATCTTTTGCAACTCGTGCGGAATTGTGTTAGTTACAACAACCTACAAACAGATTGGTCTGTACTCAATTAAAACCAAAAACACCCACCTCATCTATGGGTGAATCTTCGATCAATCTTGGGGCGTCTGATGACAAGAGACCGTGAGTCGCTAACACATAGATTTTATAGGCACCACGTTCCTTTAGGACTTCTGAGGCGGCCACGAATGACTGCACATCATCAATTAAATCATCCTAGACACACAATTTTGAAATAATAACCACGGAAAAATAGTCATACATACCACCATAATGGCAATGCGGCCCCCTACATCACCTACAACATTAATTGGCGGCTTCTCCTTTGCAATATGCACTGGAACTCCAACCCCAGCATCCATGGTTCGAGATCTGGGAAGAGTGGGTGGCGAATACCGCCCATCTACTTCATCCGACTCTGCTTCCTTCTGCTCACCATGAATAACCGCAATTCCCAGTCGAAGACGCTCAGCGTATGAAGTGGCTTTTTTGGCAGTGCCTGGGTTTCGAGCCACAATCACTGAATTGCGGTAATCCGGGATCTACAAATTCACCGTCATGACAATTTTTTTGGGGGTGTTAGGTGCTTACACATTCTTGTATGTACTGCAAGAGGAAAGGGCTAGCTCTCAGGTTATCAACCGGACAATCAAAAAATCCCTGAATTTCTTTTTGGTGGAGATCCATTGTGATTATGTGGGTTAGTCCAGATTTACACATCATCTGGGCAAGAAGTTTGGAAACAATGCTGCCACGCTTACGCATTTTGCACTGTTTGCTGTAGGGTAAGTAAGGGATCACTCCGACTATTGATTTAGCGCTAGATGTCTTACAAGCATATGCCATTATTAGTAGCTCCATGATGTTATTGTTGACGTCTCTAAAAAAACATTATCACTGAGTGTGGTTGCAAAAGTGGACTTACTTTGTGCCTGTTTGTATGATGTAGATGTCTTTGCCACGAACAGAGTCTCCAATTTCCACCATGGTTTCGCGGTTTGTTTTATGGTAGACAGCACAGCCCCCAACTTTGACTCCCAAGCGGTGCGATATTAAGTTGACCAGTTCTGGGTGGGAGTTGCCCCCTATTAGGACCACGTCCGACGTTTTGGGTGCTTCCATCCTGTATTACACACCCCCCACACGATTATATTTAAATTAAAAAAACAATACTCGAAAAAATACTGCAACAGTTACGCACGTTTCCTACTTATTTATACAACTTGGAAACGAGGACACAACTCCATACATTTGGTTTCTCGCTTTTCTGGAATATTTGTGTAACTAAATATGCTAATAATAAAATTTGTTGACACTTCACGGTAAACACTGGCAGTGGCTAACGTCACGTAAACTAGTGACAGAACTGACAGATGCTGGTTTTATTTATCCCTTTTTTTCGTCGTCTTCGTTGATTCACTATTAAAGTCTCTCCAATCCCTTAAATGTGACATGTGAGGGCGCATACGTCGGGAGGGAAAGGAATCTGTAATGTCGGCTAAATGCTGTCGTGGTCTGACTTTTTGACACAATTTGACATCATGTATTTCAGTTTTTACTTGAAAAAGAGGCAAAATTTCGGTACCGGCACCAAAGTCACAACGCCATGGGCGTGGATGGTCTGCAAAGGGATATGCAGTAGGAAAGTTTTTCTTTGAGGTGTTTACATTGTTATCGGAATGTGTCTCAGGAATTATGAAGCTGCATTCTGGATCACGTTTAGTACTTGCTGGGGAGCTTGAAGAAGTAGGTAGTGGTGACTTGGAACCATGGAGGAACAAAGTAGGAACAGAGCCGGGTTTAAGTCTTTTATTTGCATAATAACAACTTCTCTCAAAGTGTTTACCACAAATGTATAAATTATTTGCAATATTATCACCTGAAATGGTTTTAATGGCTATACATTCCCTTAGGTAAAAGACTCATGTGGGGGTACCTACTTGTAGCATTAAAAACCTTTTTGCACCACAACCTTTTGTTCACAGTGTTTGAAGGGAATCTGTGCATTATTTTGTGGTCTCTAGGATCCTTGATTACCTCACAAGCAGGCACAGAGCAATATTTTTTGGACATTTTGATAATATCAATTCAAGCACAAACTGTTTTGGCGCGTAACAAAACGGATTAATTACAGATTCCTGTAACTCCCGAAGGGAGTGACATCTTTTGATATTTTCCCTTTTGACAAGTCGGACGATTGTAATCAATTGGAGAGACTTTAATAGTGAATCAACGAAGACGACGCTTTTTTTAATACAATCCCCGTACAACCGGTTATTGATTAACACGGTGCAAGCGTTTCACGCAAAACATGCAAAAGTCCTTGAATTTGCTAAATCGTGTTAATTCAATAAATCAACATGACAATCAACAGGCAGTGGCGTAACGACCATTTTTCAGAGGGTTCGATCTGGGGTTGCTAGGCAACCAGTTATGACAAGGTGTAAACAAATCGTTGACACTTGAACAATTTTTTGTTTTATGTGATGGAGAGCCCCGACGGTAAATCTGGAGAGGATACTGCAAAACAGAAAACTCGAACGTTTGGTTTTCGGGACTTGAGTCGTTCGAACGTTGTAGGCTACAGAGATGACTCGTTTCATCGGGACAAATTTTCGCCAAGATCTGAGACTGATGAGTCCGAAGAAGCGAAACATTTTTCGAAATTTTATAGCTCAGAGGGGTAAACTGGTTTTATTTTTCTTAGGATATACATTGTTGCGCGTTTTTCAGGTCTGAGAATAAGGACGAGCCTCAGGTTTTGGATCCCGACAACCCTCTTTTGGAGAGATTTCAAAGAACTTTGAAAGAGCACCTAGAGCGACAGATTAATCATTTGAAGGACGATATTTACGAATATGTAAGAAGTAGCAACGTTTAAGTTTTATTCTTATGTAGTCTTGATTTTTCAAAATTTTCGGGAACTCTCGGAAGTTTATAAATACCGAGTGAGTAATGTTTACGGTTTTTTTTTGTCAGGTTAGCGACATATTTAAAATTTTATGGTGGCACACCCGGTTCAGTAGTTCTCATTGGTTCTCATTGGTTTTTAGGCGCGCTCATGTTAAAATGGGCAACTGTGAACTGACATATGCCAACATTGCTGCCATTAAAGCAGTATCGTCAACTCAAAAATTTTCTTAAATCATTTGTGCATAGAACACCATAAAAGTGTTACATTGGTAACTGCCTTTATTCACTTTTAAACAAAACGTTGCCGTGGTAGAGTATAGTATAATATAGTCCATTTACCGAACAAATGGAGTGATCACGTGCCTACAAAGTGAACATACAAGCGTAGGTTGGTTAGGCTATCATAGGATTTCAGTTCCTTGTCGTAGTGTGTTACCGTTCTAGTGTATAACACATTCCACATTTTTATGCTCAAAAAACCGTGCCACATATTATACGCTCTATCCTCTCTTCCTAAAACAACGAGTTATCTAACTAAACTGCGAGTTTCACGAGAACGCGGGTGATCTTACATATTGTCTTTTTTTCTTAATATACGTAGTCATCGTTTCACAATAAAAACTTAAAATAGATGACTAACCATACTGAGAAAAAAAAGGCTTAATATAAGCCCCGCCCACCCGCCTTATCTCAATTGTAATGATTTTTTTTACCCGTTGTAAGTCGTGGGGCGGAGCTTAATTGCAAAATCCTTGTTTTTCTACGAGAAATTGCTATGAGAAACATGTTCTCGAGTAATCGTGTTGTTCAAGGCAAACTATATGTATTAAGTAAAAAAGATAAGCTCCACCCATTCGTCTCGATCTCAATTTGCCTTTAATTTTTACTTAATATAAGTAGCTAGTATTTTTGAACAACACGACACTCAAAAATATGTTACATGGCAATTTCTGGTAGAGAAATAGGGATTGTCAAATTAAGCCCCGCCCTCTTGGCCCACGACGTATAAAAAATCATTACAATTGAAATAGGGTGGATGGGTGGGGCTTACATCTTGCATTTTTTTCTTATAATATGTAGTCATCTTTTCAGAACACAAATTTAAAACAGATGACTACGCATATTAAGAAAAAAAGGCATAATATAAGCCCCGCCCACCCACCTTATCTGAATCGTGATGATTTTTTTTACCCGTCGTAAGTCGTGGGGCGGAGCTTAATCGCAAAATCTTTGTTTTTCTACGAGAACATGCTATGTGGAACATGTTCTTGAGTAATCGTGTTGTTCAAAGGAAGCTATATGTATTAAGTAAAAAAGAAAGCCAAAAGATAAGCTCCACCTATCCGCCTCGTCGATCTTAACCGGGCTTTAATTTTTGTGTGTGTTTTTGTAATGTATTACATAGTAATTTCTTGTACAAAAATAAGGATTTCGCAATTCCTAAATTCCGCCCTCTTGGCTCACGACGAATAAAAAAAAATCATCACAATGAGGCAGGGTGGGTGGGTGGGGCTTACATTTTGACGTTTTTTTCTTAATATACGTAGTCATCTTTTCACAACACACATTTAAAACAGATGACTACGTATATTAAGAAAAAAACTCACAATATAAACCCGCCCACCCGCCCTATCGCAATCGTGATGATTTTTTTTTACCCGTCATAAGTCGTGGGGCTTAATTGCAATATCCTTATTTTTCTACAAGAAATTGTCATCTGAAACATGATTTTAAATACTCGTGTTGTTTAAACAAAACTATATGTATTAAGTAAAAAAGAAAACCAAAATATAGGCCCCACCCAACCGTTTCGATCTCAACCTGGCTTTAATTTTTACTTAATATAACTAGTATTTTTTGAACAACAAGATACTCAAGAACATGCATTACATAGTAATTTCTTGTAGAGAAATAAGGATTTTGCAATTCCTAAGTTCCGCCCTCTTGGCTCACGACGAATAAAAAAAAAATCATGACAATTGAGGTAGGGTAGGGTGGGTGGGGCTTATATTTTGTCGTTTTTTTCTTAATATACGTATTCATCTTTTTACAACACAAATTTAAAACAGATGACTACGTATATTAAGAAAAAAAGCACAATATAACCCCGCCCACCCGCCCTATCTCAATCGTGATGATTTTTTTTACCCGTCGTAAGTCGTGGGGCGGAGCTTAATTGCAAAGTCCTTGTTTTTCTACAAGAAATTGCTAGTGTGGATCACGTTCTTGAGTAATCGTGTTGTTCAAAGCAAACTATATGTATTAAGTAAAAAAAGAAAGCCAAAAGATAAGCTCCACCTATCCGCCTCGTCGATCTTAACCGCGCTTTAATTTTTACTTAATATATTTAGTATTTTTTGAACAACACGATACTCAAGAACATGTAGTACATAGTAATTTCTTGTAGAGAAATAAGGATTTTGCAATTCCTAAATTCCGCCCTCTTGGCTCACGACGAATAAATAAAATCATCACAATTGAGGTAGGGTGGGTGGGTGGGGCTTACATCTTGCATTTTTTTCTTATAATATGTAGTCATCTTTTCAGAACACAAATTTAAAACAGATGACTACGCATATTAAGAAAAAAAGGCATAATATAAGCCCCGCCCACCCGCCCTATCTCAATTGTGATGATTTTTTTTACCTGTCGTAAGTCGTGGGGCAGAGCGTAATTGCAAAATCTTTATTTTTCTACGAGAACATGCTATGTGGAACATGTTCTTGAGTAATCGTGTTGTTGAAAGCAAGCTATATGTATTAAGTAAAAAAGAAAGCCAAAAGATAAGCTCCACCTATCCGCCTCGTCGATCTTAACCGGGCTTTAATTTTTACTTAATATATTTAGTATTTTTTGAACAACACGATACTCAATAACATGTATTACATAATAATTTCTTGTAGAGAAATAAGGATTTTGCAATTCCTAAATTCCGCCCTCTTGGCTCACGACGAATAAAAAAAATCATCACAATTGAGGTAGGGTGGGTGGGTGGGGCCTACATTTTGCCTTTTTTTTGTCAATATACGTAGTCATCTTTTCACACCAAAAATTTAAAACAGATGACTACGTGTATCAAGAAAACAAGGCATAATATAAGGCCCGCCCACCCGCCCTATCTCAATCGTGATCCTTATTTTCCTACGAGAAATTGGTATGTGAAATACGTTCTTAAGTAATCGTATTTTTTTAAAGCAAACTAGATGTATTAAATAAAAAGAATACGTAGCATTATATATGTCTTACATGGCAATTTCTTGTAGAGAAATAAGGATTTTGCAATTAAGTTCGGCCCTCTTGGCTCATGAAGAATAAAAAAACATTACAACTGAGATGGGGTGGGGCTTATATTTTGCCTTTTTTTTCTTAATATACGTAATCATCTTGTCACAACAAAAACTTAAAACAGATGAAATAAAAAATTGAGAATAAATGTCCAAATTCAAGCCGTGACAAAATAGTTCGGATTTCCAATCGAATTTCTATTTTAGTCCATGATAATTTTAATTGATCTGATGGTCTAATGGATTAAGCGTGAATTACGTGTTTTATATGAACGTTTACATGATTGCTGTTAAATTGTATTAGAACCATGGGCTGTTAAAAATGTTAACATCAACAATAAAACAAATATCACGTGTTGATAGAAAATCATTAATTAACTGGTCCTAGACTAATTACGATCGTTGATGAATCCGTTTAGGTGAAAATATACAGGGTGTCTAAAGACAAAATTTTATGCATTTCCAGTGAAATTTTTGTTTTTTTTTTTACTTAATATAATAAGGCCCAAAAATTATACATTTTTCAAAATTTTAGAATCTCAGAACATGGACAAAATTTGAAAATTTTTAAAAATTAAAATTTCTGGTGAAAGTGAAGATGGTAAATATTCTAAAGTCACTGCATAGGATTTGTTTAGTTAATACGAAGAAATTTTGATGAATCCGCTTATATTAAAAATATATAGGGTGTCTGATGAGGAAATTGTACACATTTTCTGTGAAATTTTTGTTGCTTTTTTTTTATTTAATCTAATAACGCTCATTCAGAGCTACAACAAAAATTAGAGATGAGATTTTACAAAATTATACGTATTTCAAAATTTTGCAACCTCAGACCAGCGACAGAACATTGTCAAAATTAGCAAATTTTCAAAAATTAAAATTTCCGCTGAAAATGAAAATAGTAATTTTTTTAAGAATGTATTTGGTTGACATAAAGAAATTCTGATGAATCTGTTTAGATGGAACATATACAGGGTGTCTAAAGACAAAATATTATTCATTTCCCGTGAAATTTTTGTTTTATTTGACTTAAATTAATCTAATAAGTCTCACTTAGAGTCACAAAAAAATTTAATTTACTAGATTTTGCAAAACTATACATTTTTCAAAATTTTAGAATTTCAAAACATCGACAGAACATGCACAAAATTTGAAAATTTTCAAAAATTAAAATTTCTGGTGAAAGTGAAGTTGGTAAATATTTTAAAATCACTGAATGGAATTTATTTAGTTGGTAGAAAGAAATTTTGATGAATGCGTTTAGGTGAAAAATATACAGGGTGTTTGAAGGCAAAATATTACGCATTTTCCGTGAAATTTTTGTTTTTTTTGACTTAATCTAATAAGATCCACTTGAAGCCACAATTAATTTATTAGATTTTACAAAATTATACATTTTTTATGATTCTGAATTCCAGAACGACAGAACATGGGCAAAATTTGAAAAATTTTAAAAATAAAAAAATTGAAAAAGTCTACACATATTAAAACAAAACGACAAAATGTAAACCCACCCATCCACCCCTGCCTCAATTGTGATGATTTTTTTATTGGACGTGAAGCAAGGAGGCGGAGCTTAATTGACCCTTTTCCTGTAAGCAAAGTGAGTAGACATTATATAAATTCCAGTGATACAGAGTGAGACAACATCGCGCAGGCGAAGTCAGATTTTTGGAGCGCCAAGTTAAAATTAACCAATGAGCGATAGATTACGCATGTGTAGCTGGTTGCATTCTGTCAAAGCGGTTTGTTGTCACAGGCCTTTGCTCTGCTGCCGGAGTGCCGGATACGTGGTTTTGAAGATGCGTGCGCACGGAAAGTCACTATGGGAGTTTTACGATCTTACAGGAAAAGGGTCAATTGCAAAATACTAATTTTTTTACAATAAATTAAAAACATACTTTTGAGTATCGTGTTGTTCAAGAATACCATGTATATTAGGAAAAAAAGGTAAAATATAAACCCCGCCCACCCACCCCATCTCAATTGTTATGACTTTTTTTTTCTTAGAAACATAAAACACGTTTAAAATGGTACATTTTTGTATGGAAATATGGATTTTGCAATTAGGCTCCGCCCCTAACTCTGCCAACGAATGAAAAATTCATCACAATTGAGAATTGAGATCAGGGCGGGTATGGGTGGGGCCTAATCTTTGGCTTTATTTTTTTCTCAATACATAGTATTCTTTGACCTACACGATACTAAAAAACATGTTTTTAATTTATCGTAGAGAAATAAGAATTTTGCAGTTAAAAATCATCACAATTGAGATAGGGTGGGTGGGAGGGCTTATATTTTGCCTTTTTTTCTTAATATGTGTAGTCTTCTTTTCACAACAAGAAAGGTAAAACATGTTTAAAATGGTAAATTTGTATAGGGAAAAATCGATTTTGCAATTACGCTCCGCCTCTCGGTTTGACAACGAATGAAAAATTCATCACGACTGAGATCGAGAGGGATGGGTGGGGCTTCTCTTTTAATTTTCCTTTTTAAAGTAATACACTTAGTTTTCTTTGTATAACACGATTAATTAAGAACATATATCACAGGGTAATTTGTTGTAGAAAAATAAGGATTTTACAATTAAGCCTCGCCCCTCGGCTTACGAATAATAAAAAAAAAATGATCAGAATTGAGATAGGGTGGGTGGGCGGGGCTTATATTTTGCCTGTTTTTTCTTAATATACATAGTCATCTTTTTACAACAAGAAACTTAAAACATGGTTAAAATGGTTTATTTTTGGAAAGGAGATATGGATTTTGAAGCCTAATTGCAAAATCGATATTTCCTTAACAAAACTTCCACTTTAAACATGTTTTAGGTATCATGTTGTGAAAAGAGTAATACACATATTAAAACAAAAAGACAAAATGTAATTGGCCTCGAATGCGATTAATTTTTGTTTAAAAAAGTATGTTTTGATGAAACTACCAATCAAACTACGACAAATTGCATTGTTGCTGTGTTAGTTGTAGAAGAAATGGCTCAAAATGCGCTCTTTCCGAACTGTTCGTCCGATTGCGGATTACACTACGAAGCTGTGGGTTATATTCTTCTCCAAATGTATGATTGCCTAACGTTACTGAATGTTTTTTCTTATTTTTAATTTTTCAAATGCGATTTCGTGACCAATATTATTCGCATTTTAGAATATCGCGTGAAGATCACGAACTCCATCTGTTCGATAAACGGAGGTTATTACGCACCTAGTGTTGTTGCTTTGATGAAAAATCTTTATTTGATACTTTTTTAAGTACAAAACGGTAATTTTCGGTTAGAACTAGATTAAATTAATCAATAGTTTCCTGGAGGGGCTAAGAAATCACCAGTAGGTACATGCTAATTTAGAGTCATAAAAATGTATCGTCTGGAATCGTCCCAGAAGGGAGTATTTTATCATATTCTGGGTGTCAACGTAGGCACCGGCACGCGCTGACCCGAAACAGATTTATTAGTGTAGAGAATTTCTTTCCTCAGCCTAGTAATACAAAACTGACAGTAGGTTACCCAACTTTTGTTACGTATTAGGAATCTGGCGCAAAAAAGAACAACGCAAAACGCGAAGAATTGGGCCTTATGGTCTACGAACAACAGCAAGTCCTCAACAATCAACAGAAATCTCTAAACCTCTACATTTCGAAAGTGGAAACCACCGCAGCCGCATGCCAAGAACTCGAAAACGTTCTGGCAGAAAAAAAAGACGAATTTACTACAAAACGCAACAATCTCTATCACGAAGAGTCGCAAGAAATCGAGCTCCGCAACGAAATCGAAAGCACCAACTTGCTCATCCAGCAGATGTCCCAGTGGGAACAAAACCTGGAATCCGACATCACCGTGAAGAAACGCGTCTACGAAAAAAGCCGCAAAGACAAAATGCAACTGCTGGAGGACAAGCGGATGCAAGACGGTCTCATCTACAGACTGATGAACCGAATTTGGCAGCTGGAGCAAGAACTCGAGCGGATGGACGTCCAGATAAAAGTGAAAGAAGAAGAGAGGGAAGAAATGGCCCAAACGGTAGCCTTGGGGAACACCAACATCGACGCCATGGCCGCGGAGTACCGCTGTCTGATGCACTCGTGGAACTCCGTCATCATCGCGATCGGGAACCGAGACAAAGTCTTAGCTTGTTTGAACAAGGAAGTGAACAAGGCGACGGAGCTTTTCAAGAACATCGTCTGCGAAATCGAACAAGTGAAGAAACTGAGTCAGCAAGAAATGAAGAAGAACGAGCTCATCATGCTGCTGAAAACTCGGTTTCTGATCGACGTGCAGAACTGCAAGGCCGAGTTCGACGCAGAAATGGCGAAAAAGGTGGCCGTGGAGAAGAAGATCATGGAAATGGAGGGCATTGTCGAACAGACCGAAAACGATATTGCGAAAATTCAGGACGTACGTCTGGTATTCGATGAGAGAGTTTCACTGGGTGATTTTTTTGCAGGAAACGCACGACTTCAACGTGTTGCTCGCGGCGCTCCAGCGCGAAGCTGAAGCGCTGACTTTTCAGAAAACAGAAATGGAAGAAATGATAATGAAGCTGCTGGAAGAACAAGTTTCTAACAACAAAACAGCTTTAACTCTGCAACGTTTCTTGAAGCAGTTCAAAGCGAAAAACAGAGAATTGGAGATTCAAGTGGCGAGCAGCGAAAATAAAAACGCCTCTGTCATGAGCGACATCGAGATACAGAAATTGGCGAACTTCGAGAGCCAGCGCTACTTGGTGGAGTTAGAAGAGCAACTCCGGGTCTTGGGAAAAGAGGCCGACGGTTATCAGGAAGAAATGAAGCAGTTGGAACTGAGGATTATGAAGAGACAACGGGAAGTCGACATGTTGAATTCGAAATTGCAGAAAATGGTAGAAAAGTCTGGCGTGAACTATACGTCTCCGTTAGAAATAAAGATTACAACACTGGAGAAGAAGATTGAAGAAATTCAAGAGCATATCAAAAAGTTGCAACAGTTCTGGCTGCGGGAGCAAAGCAATCTTCTCAGGATTTCAGAAGAACGACAGGAGCAAATCCAAAACAACAACCTCATACGCAAACGTTAGTCAAAATGAATTCGATTTTCAGTATATTATTTTTTTTTTTTTCAGAAATATTGATTATGGAGCAGAAGAATCTAAAAGTGTCTGACGATTTGGAAGCCCAGAAGAAGCGACAAGATAAAGTTCTGCGTGCCATTAATAACCTCCACAGCCAGCTGACCGTCATGGGCGACAATTTTGTCAAAACGAAGGGACTGAAGACCCACATGGACAAAGACAACGAAGTCATGCGTCAAGAGTACATTTACAAACTTAAGGTGAAAAAGCCCAATACAAATGAATCAGTGTTGACGTTTTTTTGCAGGATGCCGAACTTGAGTGTCTGTCTTTAGAAGACGAAATAGAACAGTTGGAAGAAGACAAAGTAAACATGAGTAACGAACTACTCGAAATGAATCGTCAAGCTCTGGAATGGGAGAAAAAGTTTTTGATGGCTAAGGAAACGAAGAGCACGATGATTCAAGAAAGAGGACAAGAAGGAGAAGTGGGTGGGATGAAAGCAGAAATACATCGGATGAATGTGGGGTGAAATAGTGGCGATTCTTTAAATTAGATAATTTTTGTAGGTCAGATATAGCCAGCTAAAGAAAGTACAGGACGTACTTTCTAACGACTTGGAACATTGCGTTTCAAGAAGGGATGCAATTGTGACAGCAGCGGAAGCCCGAGAAAGAAGAACTAAAGGCGGGGTTGAGCACACTAGAATCAATTTTCACAGAAAATTGGATGATATGAAGAACAAGACGAAGCAAATGGAAAATGTAAGTAGGAAACACAGTATGTGTGATTAACTAACAAATGACATAATTTTTAGCAAATTCAAGAAATGATGAACAAAATGGTAGCCTACGAGAAACAAAAAGTGGAAATAAAAGAACAAATCGAAGAAATAGAACGCCAAATTGAAGTCACTCGTATCCATAACACAGCGATAAAAGAAAACATAGAAGAAACGATAACTGAACGTCAAATGAACTTCGAGTTACTTTTACAATTTCAGAAGAAATTGAATACATACACCGACATTGTCAAGGGTCGAAAACCCTATATGGTTTACCGCACGAACAGTGCCTTGACCAGTGCGTACAGCAAAGAATTGAACATCAACTCGAAATTGACAAAAATCGTCGAAAATCTACTAGGAGACTTCCCAAATCACATTCACGAACTAACTCGCATTAGTAACACTTTGAAATTACCTGTGTATATCTATTTCCAATAAATTTTCAAAAGTACTAGCGTTTTCCACAAGTCCAACTAACTGTGGATTGTGAACTTTATTGTGACCACCACTAAATATAAAAATATATAGACAAATTAAAAGTAGAGTACAAATTTAAAATATGCAGTTTAAAGTCATAGAAGAATTTTATATTTTAAGTTGACAATGTTTTTGGTCAAGCGCGAGCGTTTTGTGATGTCAGTAATGCAAGTAAAATTTTATTTCAAGCTTAACGAGTACTTAATTTGGGACAAATTTAGAAGATTAAGGGCCAGTTTATACAATATTTTAACTGAGATTAGGTTAATCACGCATTTAACGGGGCGTTTATCGATTTCTGATTGGCGTAGAGTCGGTCACGTGGTACTGTGACGCCGTGTTAAAAACTTTATGGCAATCAAATATACTATATTAAGAATATCGTGAAAATTAAATTAATTAAAATTTAGCGGTCAATTTTCAGTTAGTGTGTTTTATTGCAAAAAATACAAAATTAAATTTCAGATTCTTTGACATAAGCATTAACGAACAAGTTGGTTAATGGCGGTTATTAATAACTAAAGCCGATTTTGTTAACTATCCAGCGTGTTAGAATATTTTTTCGAGGATCAAAAACTTTAAAAATCAAAAAATAGAAATTAAACTATGCAACCAAATATACACCTAAGGTCATTTCGTGCCTGTATACCACTCTATCATTTCAAAGTTCAAATGTGACAGATTGCAATCAAAACAAAACGATAAATATGGTTATGTGAGATACGCGATTTTTTTTTTTTTTTTTTTAATTACTATTATAAAAGGAAATCATTCTCTCATCGGCTGTGGAAGCAACACAAAGCACATGTATTTTTAAATATAATTACCTTGTAGCTTCCATCGTTTTTGTGTTTCTATTTTCCAGTTTTCTATTATGACATTTTGTCTTCATACTGTACTTCATACCTCGAGATGCAAATTTATTTGTACCATACTGTACCCATTAAATTGACATTTCGTGAATTAAACATTATCTAAAATATCAATTATGTAATATCACAGAAAAAAATCTTATTGTAAGATAAACTTATCAAAACTACCAAATCTAATTCCGCTTAGTGTAAAATTAGAACTTATACGTAACCCCGATTTCTTTCAAAAATACCCCACTGACGTTTATTTGAAGCAGGCGCGCATACCGAGTGGAGTCAAGTTCGGATTGGTGTAGTAATTATTGACGATTAAGGCGCAGTTGGGGGGTTGATTGTAAATTCAGTAAATAAATAATCGAAGAAGTATTAAGTGCGAGGGTTGATTCAAGTTATTAGGGTGGTGTTAAAGTAAATACGGTGCGGTCGAAGCGGTTTTGACAGTGTAGTAGTTTACAAAAACATGGAGGGTGTTGGAGCGTACGGAGGCGGTAAAGCAGGCGGTGCTTTTGACCCCCTAGCTTTCGCCCAAAGGCCCCAAGTCATCCTCAGAGCTGTCTGCTGGGTAAGCCACAATTTATATTCATAAATTTCGCATTGCCATCCTGTTAACCCCTGATTGCTCAAGTAATTCATTTTCAAATAATCGATTTGACAGGAGGTATTGGTGGGGGGTGTGTCAGATGTGTATTGATTATTTAAAATTTTGAAATGGGTCATCGACAAATATTTAAAAATAATCATCGTTATCGGATGAATCACATGTTTAAACACATTCCGAGACTTATTTATTTTATTATTGTTTCAGTTATTTTCCATTGTCGTTTTCGGCTGCATATCCTCGCAAGGGTGGTTCGTCAATAGTAATGGAAAAGACGAATGTCTCTATAACAAGGATGCGAATGCCTGTAATTATGGGGTAGGAATCAGCGTAATTGCGTTTTTGGCCAGTATGGGGTTCCTTGCTGGTGAATACCTCTTCGAACAAATGTCGTCGGTTAAAACCAGGAAGCACTACGTCTTGGGCGACTTAGGCTTCTCAGGTAGGCCCCTGGGGGTCTTTCTATAAAATAATGACAAATCATGTATGGGGTAGTAATTTTGATTTGGAGGTAACTGATTTTTATAGCCAAGATGGGTTGTTATGGGCAATAAATACACAAATGGTAAGTAATAAAATGCGTCTAAAATGAAATAGCTGCACTAACAGAAGGAAAGACAAACAAAAAATGAAGTTTTAATACTACTATATATAATATATACTACTGTAATAATAATATTATTACAGTAGTCAAATATACAGTGGAGAATATTTGTCATTATGTAAGTGTGCCATATGACCTAATTGACATTGTTTTCAATTGTTTGAATATTGATTATTGTTTATTTTTAGTTTTCAATATTTCTTTTAAGTTCTATATTTGAAAAAAAAAATGTAATTGGCATAAACCAAATATTCTTTGTGTATGCAATTTGCTTGCCAAGTCAAGTAACATTTATTCTTATGCACTGGTGACAGTTTGATAGTGCACTACTACTCAAATCATGTGTGGTACGCTGCTTTGAAATTTAATATTTGTGAAGTTGGTGATTTTTTAATAAATGTACAAAAAACAATTAGGAGCTAACCGCATGGAAAATTTTAGGTTAAAATAAAAGTGGTCATGACAAAGCATCAAATCACTTTGACATGACCCTGAAGCATTAAAATGCTCGCAATTATGCGTCGAAAAAATGGAAATGGTGACGCCAAATTTTAGCTATCCTAGATATTTTCTTCCATAAAATAATATTGAAAATAAAGCCAATTAGAGTTGGCTGTGACATTAACTGTGTAAATATATACCGTGAGGATGTTTTTAGACAGGTAGGCCATGTAAATCTAGCAATTTGGTTTGCAAACAATTTCGTAGGTATATGCTGAGATCCCTAAAGTGGGATTTATAAACTTGCTGACGTTGCTTTTAGAGCTGAAAATTGTCATTTTCAAAATCCGTTGCCAAGTTGCGGTTGATAGTAACTTTGATGTCCAACTTTTGCCGTATATAAAGGGGTTGTAAAAGAAAACTGGAGGATTTAAGTTGATTACTACAAAAATTTACCATTTCAGACATGTTTTAAATTTCTTGTTGCCAAAATAAGCCTACACATATTAAAAAAAAGGCAAAATGTAGCCCCGCCCACCCGCCCTATCTCAATTGTGATGATTTTTTTTTTATTCGTCGTGAACCAAGGGATGGAACTTAACTGCAAAATACTTATTATGTTTTACGTTTTTGAGTATCGTGTTATTCAAAGAATACTATGTAAATATATTAAGAAAAAGTTAAAGCCAAAGATTAAGCCCCACCCTTACCTGCCCTGATCTAAATAATAATGAAATTTTCATTCGTTGGCAGACCTAGGGGTAGGGCCTAATTGCAAAATCCATATTTCCTTGCAAAAATTTACGATTTTAAACGTGTTTTAAGTTTCTAAGGATAAAAAAATTACAATTAGATGTGTTGCGTGGCCGGGGTTTATATTTTGGCTTTTTTTCTTTATATACATAGTATTTTTTTGAACAACACGATACTCAAAAACATGTTTTTAATTTCTTGTAAATGAATCAGTATTTTGCAGTTAAGCTCCGCCCCCTTGTTTCGCGACGAATAAAAAAAATCATCACAATTGAGTTAGGGCGGGTGGGCGGGCTTACATTTTGCTTTTTTGTTTGAATATGTGTAGACTTCTTTCCACAACATGAAACTTAAAACATGTTTAAAATGGAAAGTTTTTTGTTGCGAAAAGATGGCTATGTATATTAAGGAACAAACAGCAAACAGTATAAGCCCCGCCCACCCGCCCTATCGCAATTCTGATGATTTTTTTATTCTTCGTTAGCCGAGGGGCGGAGCTTAATTGTAAATTAATTAATATTAATTTTAACTTAATATAACTAGTATTTTTTGAACAACACAATACTCAAAAACATGTCTTACATGGTAATTTCTTGTAGAGAAATAAGGATTTTGCAATTAAGCTCCACCCTCTTGGCTCACGACGAATAAAAAAAATCATCACAATTGAGATGGGGGGGGGGGGTGCGGCTTATATTTTGTGTTTTTTTTTAATATACGTAGTGATCTTTTCACAACAAGAATTTAAAACAGATGACTACGTATATTAACAAAAAAAGGAATAATATAAGCCCCGCCCACCCGCCCTATCGCAATTCTGATGATTTTTTTATTCGTACAAAGTCGGAGGGCGGAGCTTAATTGTAAAATCCGTATTTTTCTGCTAGAAATTACCATGTGAAATATGTCCTTTGGTAATCGTGATGATACAAAGAAAACTAAATGTATCAATTCATATTAATTTTAACTTAATAGAACTAGTATTTTCTGAACAACACGATACTCAAAAACATGTCGTAGATGGTAATTTCTTGTAGAGAAAGAAGGATTTTGCATATAAGCTCCACCCTCTGGATACACGACGAATAAAAAAAAATCATCACAATTGAGGTAGGGTGGGTGGGTGGGGCTTATATTTTGCCTTTTTTTCTAAATATACGTAGTCATCTTTTCACAACAAAAATTTAAAACAGATGACTACGTATATTAAGAAAAAAAAAGGAATAATATAAGCCCCGCCCACCCGCCCTATCTCAATTCTGATGATTTTTTTTTATTCGTCGTAAGCCGAGGGGCAGAGCTTAATTCTAAAATCCGTATTTTACTATGAGAAATTACCATGTGAAATATGTCCTTCGGTAATCGTGATAATACGAAGAAAAATAAAAATGTATTAATTAATATTAATTTTAACTTAATATAACTAGTATTTTTTAAACAACACAATACTCAAGAACACGTCTTAGATGGTAATTTCTTGTAGAGAAATAAGGATTTTGCAATTAAGCTCCGCCCTCTTGACACTCGACGAATAAAAAAAAAATCATCACAATTGAGGTAGGGTGGGTGGGTGGGGCTTATATTTTGCCTTTTTTTCTAAATATACGTAGTCATCTTTTCACAACAAAAATTTAAAACAGATGACTACGTATATTAAGAAAAAAAAAAAGGAATAATATAAGCCCCGCCCACCCGCCCTATCTCAATTCTGATATTTTTTTTTATTCGTCGTAAGCCGAGGGGCGGAGCTTAATTGTAAAATCCGTATTTTTCTACTAGAAATTACCATGTGAAATATGTCCTTTGGCAATCGTGATGATACAAAGAAAACTAAATGTATCAATTCATATTAATTTTAACTTAATATAACTAGTATTTTTTGAACAACACAATACTCAAAAACGTGTCTTAGATGGTAATGTCTTGTAGAGAAAGAAGGATTTTGCATATAAGCTCCACCCTCTGGATACACGACGAATAAAAAAAATCATCACAATTGAGGTAGGGTGGGTGGGTGGGGCTTATATTTTGCCTTTTTTTCTAAATATACGTAGTCATCTTTTCACAACAAAAATTTAAAACAGATGACTACGTATATTAAAAAAAAAAAAGGAATAATATAAGCCCGCTCTATCTCAATTCTGATGATTTTTTTTATTCGTCGCAAGCCGAGGGGCGGAGCTTAATTGTAAAATCCGTATTTTTCTGCTAGAAATTACCCAGTGAAATATGTCCTTTGGTAATCGTGATGATACAAAGAAAACTAAATGTATCAATTCATATTAATTTTAACTTAATATAACTTGTATTTTTTGAACAACACGATACTCAAAAACATGTCTTAGATGGTAATTTCTTGTAGAGAAAGAAGGATTTTGCAATTAAGCTCCACCCTCTTGGCTCACGACGAATAAAAAAAATCATCACAATTGAGGTAGGGTGGGTGGGTGGGGCTTATATTTTGCTTTTTTTTTCTTAATGTACGTAGTCGTCTTTTCATACCAAAAATTTAAAACAGATGACTACGTACATTAAGAAAAAAAATATAAGCCCTGCCCACCCGCCCTATCTCAATTGTGATGATTTTTTTTTATTCGTCGTAAGCCGAGGGGCGGAGCTTAATTGCAAAATCCTTGTTTTTCTACGAGAAATTGGTATGTGAAACACGTTCTTGAAAACCAAAAAAGAAGCCCAACGCATCCGTCTCGATCTCAATCGTGATGAATTTTTCATTCGTTTTCAGACCGAGGGGCGGAGCCTAATTGCAAAATCGATACTTTCCTACAAAAATTTAGCATTTTCAACATGTTTTACCTTTCTAGTTGTGAAAAGAAAATGTAAGTCCTTGTAGTTATAATACCTAATGTATTTTTGAGACGAACAGCAAGTACTGACAGAAAGCTACAGTGTAGAAAATGATTAAATGGCTTAATATTAGTGGACCTCATTATCTTTATCAAAATTTAATTTTCATGGAATTAGTGCTGTCAACCAGAAAAATGTTGGTAGCACTGCACACTACCGCAATTTGATTGGTTGAAAACCCAACGTCAACGAATGATATAAACGACGCATACGCGGCAACTTCAGCGACAAGTTTATAAATCGACCTCAATAAAAAAAAAATAATAAATCGTTACAGGTCTTTACTAAATACATAATTTGATAAAGTGTCAGTGGGTTTTCGCTTGCCATAAGATGAAGTTTTCAAATTTTCGTCTTTAGTGACAATTTTCTCTGCAGTTGCGCGACTGACCTACAAATACACATTTTTTAATTATCAAATATTCAAAAACTTGTAGTACCTCTGTATTGAAATTTTTTGTTGTAACCAAATTATTTACGTCATTTTAAATTTTAATGACAAGTAGGAAATGTGGCAACTTGATAATATGATTTCTAAATAACAATAAATGTGGCAAATCAGCCTCAAGTGAACTTCAGACAAACCATTTTGTCAATGAATCAGTTTATCCAACGTGAAGAAAACATTTCATGGCTCACTTTTGTCTAAAAACATCCTAAACGGTTTATATTACAATAAGTAGAAATAAACTTGCAAAACTGTGTCAAAAATTGACTTTTACAACTTGCGATTTGTCGTAGTTTTATAGAATGACCCCGTAGTGAAACACATCACATGATTAAAGTACTTTAATATCAGTTAACTACATTTCTATATAAATAAAATAAAATAAAATAAATAATTTACTTCTTGCGCTGATTAGCCCAGAATTGTTGCAAAGAAAACGCAAAGAATCCCACATATATGGCGGCTGCAATCCAGCAGTTGACGGCACACATTTCATACGCATCGTCGACGTCTTTGTAGAATTTGTCGATCACCTGTTGATCCGACCAATTCTCGTTGGTAGGTATATCTGCTGCGATGTCTTCTGCAAACGCCACGGAATGGAAGTACAAAAACACTCCCATCAGACCCAGCTGAATGATGCCCCATAGGGACAAAATCATGCAACAACCGGACAATTTGGGCCCACAGATCGTCAGTGCCATTTTTACGAGTATTAACAGTTAACTAACGCACTGATTCAGATTCAGGTGGAAAGATTAGATAGGATTATCAGTCATGTGCTTGTTATCAGAGGCGGGTGCTGATTATAGATTTTGTTGGTAGCTTTCTGGGCTTTCTTGTATTTCGTGGGTTTCTGGTACCTGACAAGCCAGTGGAGCAACTCGACGCCCCCACCCAACGGCTATGGTGTGAACAACGTCCAAGCGGCAATCGCTTTTTCCTTCTTTTCGATTTTCTCATGGGTAAATGCAGGTTGTATTTACGGAAGAGCTGAACGGCAGTGTTTAAAAAATCGCTGCGGAAATTTTTGATTCCGATTAAAATTGATCGGATTAAGTTTTAGATCGAGAATTACACTAGAAAGAGTTAAAACTAGTATTTAAAACGTATTCTGCTTATGAGGCAAAGTTATATAATCATGACAAAGTAGTTACTAATAACGCTTCCTTTTCCTAGTTCGTGTATTTTCCTTGATGCTTAGTTACGCTTAATGTAAAGCTTAGCTGTAGAGTGATTATCCCACATTTCGAAGGATAAAAATCATCTCATGAAATTAATATTTACATCAACACAATAGCGTATACAATTCAATGTATATGGATATGGTATATTGTGTAGTCCCCTAAATTAATTATTGAAATTTTTTTGGCATAGTTTGACTCATTCAAGGTTGCAATTTAAAGTTACTCTTAAATATATCGGATGTTTCATTTGAAAGTTACACCTCATACCTACATTTTTACTGCTCCAGCGTATTATAGTAATGGCTAATTTAATATTTGCTAGAGGTTTAATGACACGTAGAATGTCAAAAAATAGGACTCCCGTTTCAGTCTGTGTGTCAATGGTCTGTTGGCTTTTTCATTAGACAAAGAATCTTCGAAACCACTGGGCTGATTGTTATGAAATTTAACATGTAAGTATTTTAGGAATATCGTGTAGATAGTAAAACGCTTACTAAAATTTATCTGATGATTCCCTGCAACAATATAATGACATCACCTCAGAACTGTGCACAGGAAATGTTATTTCAAATTTATAAAATAACAAATTTCTATACTTGTGGTTTATGAATTTCCCTTGTTTTTTCAAACGTAATATCTTAGGTATTTCAAAGATTTAGATTCCTTATTAAAAAATTGGTTTAAGTTATTTAAACAGAACTTCCCTCGCTTCTGAACTACAATCAAGAAAACATCAAGTTTATTATACCGGATGTCTGGAAAATGGTGGGTTAACTCTTCAGTACGTTAAAAAATAATAAAAAAGTTCTTTATGATGTAGATTACGAAAAAAAAAGAATTAATAAGACATTTATAAATTATAAACAAAAATAAAACCAACAAATAAAAATCCATTAAATAACCAACTAAACACTTGAGAAATTGTTCAAAATTCCTGCTTTGTGCATGTAAGTAAGGTCGTAATGTTTCCAAATTTTGGTAATTTTTTGTAAAAGTTAGTCATCAGTACCAACTAAGATGAAACTGATTTTGGCAAATGGCATACCCTCTAAGAAACGAGAGGGTGAGTGGGCGGGGCTAGTATTTGCTAAGATAAGAGTGATTTTGGCAAATGAGATAACCTCTAAGAGAAGAGAGGGCGGGTGGGCGGGGCTAGTACCTGCTAAGATAAAACTGATTTTGGCAAAGGACCTACTTTCCAAGAAAATAGAGGGCGGGTGGGCGGGGCTAGTACCTGCTAAGATAAAAGTGATTTTGGCAAATGACATACCTCCTAAGAAAAGAGAGGGTAAGTGGGCGGGGTTAGTTTTAAACCTAGGATTTTGAAAACTTTGGAATGTGTTGTTTAGTTAAACGTAGCAAAAGAACCAACTTTAAAATCATTATAATTCCACCAAAATGTTGGAAGGAATGTTTTTACTATTTTTTCTAGACTCACCAGTTGATTGTTAAGAGTGCAGCGGAGAGTATGTTCCCAGATTAAGTTCTCAAAAAATAAAGAAGTGTAAACATGCGTTTAAATAAACAATAAAAATGAAGTTTGTTTCAATTTATATCTGGATTAAATTAGATTTATTTTTAAAAATCTGCATAATTAAATATTTTACGTGAAATACCATCTAAGAAAAGAGAGGGCGGGTGGGCGGGGCTAGTACCTGTTAAGATAAGACTGATTTTAGCAAATGACGTATCCTCAAAGAAATTTAATTAAATCATTATAAGAAAAGACACTAGAGGCTTCAAAGTAGTTTCAAATTCTTTCCAAACAGGAATAGCTAGAACCTCAATTTTGTTTTAAATTTTTCAAAGGAAAAAAAACGGGGTCCCAAAATTAACTCAAAAGCAGGTCAGGTCAGGATTTTCCAAAAACAGAACACCAAAATTTCGCAAAATTGTTTTAAATAATGCACAAAAAAATCTCCATGCTGAGATAAAATTGATTTTGGCAAATGACATACCCGCTAAAAAACAGGGCGGGTGGGCGGGGCTAGTATACATGGTAAAATAAGACCGATTTTGGCAAATAACATACCTTCCAAGAAAAGATAGGGTGGGTGGGCGGGGCTAGTTCCTACTAAGATAAGACTGATTTTAGCAAATGAGATCCCTCTAAGATAATAGAGGGCGGGTGGGCGGGGTTAGTACTTACTTAAATAAGATCGATTTTGGCAAATGACATACCCGCTAAGAAAATAGAGGGCGAGTAAGCGGGTCATTTTTAAAATCATTATAACTCCATCAAAATGTGAGAAGAATTTTTTTTACTATTTTTCCCAGACTCATCAGTTGATTGTTAAGAGCGTAGTGGAGAGTTAATCCGCCATTTTCCAGACACCCGGTATATAGATAAATTTTGATTTTGCAATTTTTTACGGCAACCCTGTAAAACAGGTAACAAGAGTATTTTACTACTACTAATACTTACAAATTTTCGAGAAAATGGGGTGAACCGTTGTTGATTCGAACAATAAAATAAGTTGCTTCACGTATGATTTTTTTAATCACCCTGTATAAGTAATTCTAAAAAATATTATTAATGAACCACACTTGTGTCTAGACCTATGCTCATAATATTTGCAAATTTAAGGATTTATCGATTTCAGAGTTAAATTGTAAACATGTTTTTATAGAATTTTGTTTTTTCCACAAAAATATGGTTGTCTTGGTTAAAAAATCAAGTCGGATTCATAAACAACCATATAGAAGTGTGCTATTTTATGAAATTTAAATAGTATTTACCATGCAACGTTTTGAGATCATGTCATTTAATTGTTGATGGTGATGATTAGACAAATTTTGATTTGCGTTTTACCATATATACGATATTTCTAAAGTACATATAAAATTTCACAACAATCAGTTCGTAGTTTTGGTGACAATCTACCTAATTGACCCTTTTCCTGTAAGCAAAGTGAGTAGACATTATATAAATTCCAATGATACAGAGTGAGATAACATCGCGCAGGCGAAGTCAGATTTTTGGAGCGCCAAGTTAAAATTAACCAATGAGCGACAGATTACGCATGTGTAGTTGGTTGCATTCTGTCAAAGCGGTTTGTTGTCACAGGCCTTTGCTCTGCTGCCGGAGTGCCGGATACGTGGTTTTGAAGATGCGTGCGCACGGAAAGTCACTATGGAAGTTTTACGATCTTACAGGAAAAGGGTCAATAAAAGCGCCAACACACAACAGACAGACGGAAACGGGAGACCTATTTTTTCGTACTTTTGATGTCAGGAAACGTCGAGAAAACATGAAATTATCCGTTTGCTAGACGGACACTATTACAATACTTTCTTGGCTTACAGGTAAGTAGGTAAAAAATTGAAGAGTCTTTTAATTTATACAGGGTGTTTAACAAATTGTCAGTTTTCTGGTATTTTTTAAATGGTACACCTGTGTTTTATAACGATTTCTAAGGCAAATTTCTTTTAATATTAAATTTGTTCAGATTTAGCTGAACATGTTTTTTAATTGTTGCTAAATTAAACTCCGACAAACGTGGCATTAAAAGAAAGCTGACTTAAAAGACAAGTTTTAAAATACAGGGTGTCCTATTTGAAACACATAAGAAAATCAACAGTTTGTAAATAAAATCCCGCTATATAAATAAGTTTAAAAGTTGCTCAATTTCTTATATTTCTTATGTTAAGATAAAGTGACTAAAAAGTTTTGAGTAAAATTACAAGCTTCCACCTTTAAAAATGGCGTAGCTATGAATTTTTAAATATTGGGTGTTCCAAAAATAACGGAAAAGCTCGAAGGTTCTGAAACTGCATGTCTAATAGGCAGTTAAATAATTAGTTTTAGTAATTTAATAAAAAATTGCCAGAATGCGATCTACGTCATTTTTTTTACTGTTGATTAAATTCACGGTAAACATCAGAATTACTAAGTTTTTTCACAACAATAAACTTAAAATGTCGGTATTTCTTCATTCAAATTTTCAATTTTAAACATCTTGTAAGCTTCATATTGTGAAAAGAAGTCTACACATATTTAAACAAAAAGGCAAAATGTAAGCCCGCCCACCCGCCCTAACTCATTTGTGATGATTTTTTTATTCGCCGTGAACAAACGGGGTGGAACTTAACTGCAAAATACTTATTTCTTTATAAGAAATTAAAAATATGTTCTTGAGTATCGCTTGGTTCAAAGAATACAGTGTATATTGAAAAAAAAATGCGAAACATCATTTTTTCTTAATATATATGTACACAGTATTCTTTGAATTACACGATAGTCAAAAACATGTTTTACATGGTAATTTCTTCTAGAGAAATAATAACGATTTTGCAATTAAATTCTGCTCCTTTGGGTCTCGACGATAAAATAATCATCACAATTGAGATAGGGTGGGTGGGCGGGGCTTAAATTTAGCCTTTTTGTTAATATACGTAGTCGTCTTTTCAGAACAAGAAACTTAAAATATGTTTTAAATGGTAATTTTTCGAACACCTGGTTAACAATGTTTTTCCATAAATATGCAAATATCGTGAAAACTATGAACTCAAAAACGCTTATATCTGATATTGTTTTTCTTTTTTCCTGAAGACTTTCAATCTGTAAAAGTATACAGTTAAAACTCTGTGCCCTTGATCTTGAGAACGGAGAACGATATTTAAATTCTGAAATTGTTTTTAGCTTGAAGAGGAAAGCGTAAGTTAGTTCAGTACCTATATTTTTAAATTGCAACGTTTATTTTTTTAGTAGATTTTGATAGACCATTAAATTGCGATTACAAGGGTTTACGATATTTATTTCATTTTCAGTTGATAAAAAAATAATAAAAATCTATTACAAAAAATAATGTTGAGTGAAATAAAGCACTCACACTTTATTTTATAGTCAACGAGATCTGTTTGAAAAAGCAGTTATTTTATCAAATCTTCTGTCATTTTTTTATGTCTATATTTTTTGTCATTTGAAAATAAAATAAAAATATAAGAGCCAGTTTACATAAGTTCAATTAAATATTTTATTGCGATTAAATTTTTAATGGGGCATTAAAGTACCACGTGACCGACTGTACGCCAATCAGACGTCGCTAAATGTCTCACCAAATGCGTGATTAACTTAATCTCAATTAAAATATTTTATAAACTGGCCCTAAGTTTTGTATGTGCACAAGAACAATGGAGTTTACAGAATTTCAGTAGCTCTATTCGTTCTCTAGATATAAAGCCGCGGAGCTTTAACTGGGACACCTGTATAGTATGTCCCTTAAAAAAAAAGCAAATGGTGCGTAACCTTAGTGAGTTCTAATAGATTCAAAGGTTTGTTTTAATAGTTCACACTGGTAGGACACCCTGAAAATGTATTTTTGTTTAATGTATTATGAATCGGGTATCGATAATAATTATACAATTTATTAAAAGAGTAATATTTCGCTTGATTATAAGATTGCTTGATCAGTTATACCTTATGTATGGCGTAGTTTAATTATTTTTTATATAAAATTGTGACTAAACTAATTAAACTACCGCCTTACTAGAAAAATTCTGTTACACTGTATTCCTTTTGTTCCTAATTCCCGGAGTCCCCGAGTTCCCAGCCAAATCTGCGAGTACTTGTCATGAACTATATAACTATATTATAAACATTAACACACTCCGTATGCGTCTTATTCGATTTTGTGCGATTTTTTTGGTAGTACCGTTCAGCACTTCCGTAGTATGACAAGTTATATAACAATGTAGCATTTTTAGGCCGGTTGCGCATTCTTCGCATTTCAGCGTTTCCGCCAGGGCGCAGACGCGGCTTTCGCGACTAACTACGAAGCCGACACGAGTATGCCCGGTTCGTATCCGTCTTACCCCGGCGGACCCGAGACGGACCAACACTACCAGGAGCCGCCATTTTCTGCGGGACCCAATCAGAGGGGACCCACAGATTTCCAAGCACCAGCTTACTAACTGGGCTTCAGTTAAGATATATAAAGATAATATTAATAGTGAACATAGCGCAGCTGCCTCATCTCTAAAGCGAGCGGAAAACTCGCCGATAAAGTATTTCAGTATAAGTCCTTTGTACTTAGAGTCGTATTATTGTTAACGGGAACTACCAAAGAGTTGAGTTTCAGACGTTGTTTATGATTATTTTTCGAAGAATCTCATTTGGTTGCATGGTTCTCGCCATGGACTGTTTATTTGCGTTCTGTAAGGCCATGTATTTTAATAGTAGCTACTTATATCACAAATTATTGAGGAAGAAAATGTGTTGAATTATATAAAATGTTAAATAATTATATAGAATGTTCAATGTACAGTTATATAATAATTGTCGAGCTGCTTGTAGCGTTTTGCTTTATTTTCAAAGCAATTTTTAGGCGTTTCGTGCAAGTACTTGCTGTTCTTGAGACGTGAGGGTCGCAAGTACCTTTTGAGTAGTGTAGATATGTGTGGTTCGGGACGTTCCGACTGCGTTCGTGCGCATTCGGCGGAACCGACCTTTTTCTTTTTGCAGTGTGTGAGTCAATCAGCTGCACTTTTATTTTGTTGACAGTGCCATTTATTTTCATAAAGTGGGATCAACTTGTATTGGTTTATGAAACGAGATTGAATATATACTCTTGTCAAATTTTTTTTTTTGAGATTGAGCGACAATAAATTTACGCAATTCACGGGCACTAAAGCGGAAGGTTAGATCTACATATCCGAGCACAATCTTTTCTAAAAAAAGAAACTAAACGTGACTAATTGGTATTTTCAAACATGGTCAAATTTTCGGTTCAACTGCTGCTTCGAAGATGAAAAATGTTGTTAGATGGGTGTGGCATAGTAAAGTTGTTCCTTGTCACGAAGATAGTTTGTTAGCATATTTAATTAGCAATAAAGTCAACTGTAGATATATTTAATCTACTTGGTTTGTAATTTTCCCATTTTTAAAGTCAGTTCTGTGTATGTAACGTGAATTGAAGTCACTGAAAAAGACTCTTATTTCTAGTTATTTTTATATTGAATTATATGTGATTTTTATTTTGATGGAGTTATATTTAGGTGTACGAATTGATTCTGTGTACTATTAAGTTACCAATAAATGTTACTATTAGGAGTTTTTCTCATTATACCTAAAATTAATCACTTAAGCGGGGTGACCTACTCCTGGGAAATCTATAATTAGAGCGTGCCATTACGCGCTTTTGTCAACAGAAGTAGGATCAATTTCATGAATAAATAGTAACTGATTACTTCAAATATGCTGTGTAATACTAGTAAGGGAAAAGTTCGTCCCCATTTTGGAAACGGCGCGCCCAAAAATTTTGAAAAAAAAACCGATTACATTTTGGTATTTCCAGAAATTTTTAAATGCTGTCATCAAGAAAAAAAAAGTAAATACGCACCCGTTTTTGTATTATTAATATTATAAAAATAACCGGTACAAAGTCGCTTGGACACACTTCCCTGTCCCTGAATCATAATCAAGCAAGCCCAATGCTCAGATAAACCATAAAATTTAATTTTGTAAATTAAGAACAACACTGCCAGAATTTCAAAAAAATGAGGTAAGTCGTTTCTGGTTTCATTAACAAAATTAATTGTTTAGTTTAATAATTTTTGAGCCACCTGTATATGAAGAAATTGCATGGATACAATATTTTAAAAGAGTTTTTTTACAAAGGAGGAACGGATAAATTCTGACTGTGATTTATCATGTTTATGAAACGTCGAGAAAACATGAAAGTAGTCATTCGTTGGATGGACCCTATTATAATACTTTCTTAATTCATCTTATTACATCGTGTATATATCGTTAAGCATAGGCAACCATGTGCAAATTTGGTGGTTTTCTGGTAGTTGGTAGCTCTCCTAGGGAATTTCTGTTGAGAGGGTTGGTAGAAGTTGACTTCGTTGCTAAAGGGGTAGGTGACGCGTCACTTTTGGTTTGTTTGGTGTGAGTAAAACCACGTGGTTAGGTTAAGTTTCGTTGGTTTGGTAGTTAATAAAAAGGGAGTACGACGACGTCACAGTTTCCCCAACATGCGTAGCTAATTCTTGCGTTTTTCCAAGCGAAAATATGCCAATTTTCGACCGACGCCAACACGTGGTGTAAATTTGTTTTGCTTGTAAATTCACAGTTCATGTTAGGATTTTAATCGTCAACTAGTTCACACAATTTAACAGTCAGGAGATTATTTAAATACAGCACTTGCTAGGAGATTTCATGAGATATACTTAGTCGACCCTCATCCTTTGTTTAGCAAATTATGAATAAGGTTTTTGGATGCTTATACTCAAGTGTTACATTATAAGTTAACCTAACGTCCCACTCGCGTAAAAGGACTGTGGAAAATGCGATAGAATTTATAATATCCCTACCTTGGGGTCCACCACTTGCATCTAAACGCATTCCGCTACAAAAAAAAAAAAAAAAAAACAAACACAATATAGGGTTCCATTTTGTCAGATGATCACAGCTAAAGCCAATTTTTTTTCACATGTCAATTTAAGGCGGGATGTTTGGGTTATCACAACATATGTACTAAGGTTAAAAACAAAGGTGGATTAATAAATTACAGGTGCAAAAGCATATTAATTTGCTTATTTTAAGTACGATTTATTTAGCAAAATTCTGAAGTGACGTCATCAAAATTTTAGTCGGGCTGTTCAGACACTCACTCTGTATATAATTCAAAATTGACAAAAACAATTTGGATCTTCTGATTAAGAACAATTTTATTTCAAAAATAGCAATAACATCGCATTTGAAATCATAATTCTCTTAAAAATATGCAAATAACGAAATCAGTATGAAATAAAACTTTGAAAACTCCTTTTTAAATAAAACCTGAAATCCCTGGTATATTTTTCAACTCTCGGTGGAGGATTTAAGTTGATTAAAGTTGATTATTACAAAAATTTACCACGTTTTAAGTTTCTTGTTGTCGAATTAAGTCTACAAATATTAAGAAAAAAAGGCAAAATGTAGCCCCGCCCACCCACCCTCTCTCGATTGTGTTGATCTTTTTTATTCGTAGTGGGCCAAGAACGCAGAAGAGTTTAACTGCAAAATCCGCATTTCTCTACGATAAATTAAAAACATGTTTTTGCGTATCGTGTTGACAAAATGTAGCCCCGCCCACCCACCCTCTCTCAATTGTAATGATGTTTTTTATTCGTCGTACGCCAAGAAGGCGGAGCTTAACTTCAAAATCCGTATTTCCCTACGAGAAATTAATAACGTGTTTTTAGGTATCGTGTTGCTCAAAGAATACTATGTATATTGAGAAAATTAAAACCAAAGTAAGCCACACCCATACCTGCCCGGATCTAAATAGTAATGAAGTTTTCATTCGTTGACAGACCTAGGGGTGGAGCTTAATTGTAAAATCCATATTTCCAATTTATTATTTTAAACGTGTTTCAAGTTTCTAAGAATAAAAAAAAGATCACAATTGAGATAGGATGGGTGGGCGGGCGGGCGTGCATTTTGCCTTTTTGTTTTAACATGTGTAGACTTCTTTTTCACAACATGAAACTAAAAATAAAAACTTTTCTTGAAAACGTATATCATCCAAAATTGAAAAAATCTTGAATACCTACTCTTTTTTAAACAAAATTTGAAACGCGTACCATATTTTTCAACTCTCGACTTCGCCTCGTGTTTAAAAAATCATCGAGAAAATTATTAATAAAACTGTCACTTCATTATTTTTTCAATATTAAACGCCCTAAATGTCAATCTAATTTTGAACACTCGGCCCCGCCTCGGGTAAGAATTATATTATAAGTCTCAACTTAATTCATTCATTCTAGACATGTTTTAAGTTTCTTGTTGTCGAATTAAGTCTACGCATATTAAGAAAAAAAGGCAAAGTGAAGCCCCGCCCACCCACCCTGTCTCAATTGTGATGATTTTTTTTATTCGTCGTGGGCCAAGGGGGCGGGGCATAACTGCAAAATCGTATTTCTCTACGAGAAATTAAAAACATGTTCTTGAGTATCGTGTTGCTCAAAGAATACTACGTATATTAAGAAAAAAATAAAGCCAAAAATTAGGCCCCATCCATACCCGCCCCGATCTCAATTCTCAATTGTGATGAATTTTTCATTCGTTGTCAGATCGAGGGGCGGGGCTTAATTGCAAGATCAATATTTGTCTACGAAAATTTACCATTTTAAACATGTTTTAAGTTTCTTGTTCTGAAAAGACGACTAAGTATATTAAGAAAAAAGACAAAATATAAGCCCCGCCTACCCGCCCAATCACAGTTATGATGATTTTTTTTATTCATCGTGGGTCAAGAAGGCGGAGCTTAACTGCAAAATCCGTATTTCTATACGAGAAATTAAAAACTTGTTTTTGCGTATGATGTTGCTAAAGGAATACAAAAAAATTAAACCAAAGATTAAGCCCCACCCATGCCTGCTCTGATCCAAATAGTAATGAAGTTTTCATTCGTTGGCAGACCTAGGGGCGGAGTCTAATTGCAAAATCGATATTTCCTTACAAAAATTTCATGTCTATTCTTCAACACTCGGATCCGCCTCGAGGAAGAATTACGTCCTAGGTCTCAACTTTTCTTCAAAATGTACATTATTCAAAATTGATATGAAAGAAAAACCTTCAATATTGCTGTTTAAACAAGATCTGAGATCTGTAGCATATATTTTAACTCTCGGCTTCGCCTCGGGTTTAATAATACCCTCCACTACATCACTGTACTGATAACCCGAAATCGTCAAGAACATTAATAATAAAACTAACACTTCATTTTTTCAATATTAAACGCCCTAGATAATCATATCTATTTTTCAACACTCGGCCTCGCCTCGTGTAAGAATTACGTTCTAGGTCTCCACTTTTCTTCAAAACGTAAATCATCCAAAATTGCTATGAAAAAAATCTTGAATAGGCTACTCTTTTCTAGCCAAAGTCGAGATCCGTGGCATATTTTTCAACTCTCGACTTCGCCTTGGGTGTAAAAACAACGGCACTATTGTACTGAGAATATAATTCATGAATCACATGACCCCATTTCGTCCAATAGAATTTGTTCATGCCCTTAGTTACATGTCTATCACAGCGATAATAATTTTATTGCCTTCTTGTGGTCTGTTGCTATCTAAATTTAAAAACTGTCAAATTGACAAATTTTAAAATTTCGTAAATTTTTTTGTCTTTTATGGCTTGCCAACGTTGGGGGCAAGCTCAAAACGACGAAATCAACTCTATTATCAAAAAATGTGTTCATTTATTATATTCTCATGTTGAATATAACTCGTGATATGATTAATAATCGAAGATATGGCTCGTGAAACCGAAGCAGCACATTCAACTCGTGCTTCGCACTCGTTGAATCTGCAGCTCGGTTTCACTCGAAATATTATCGATAATAATCATATCACTTGTTATATTATAACTGATAATCCGAAATTGTCGAGAAAATTATTAAAAAATCTATCATTTTAATTTTTAAAACGCCCTATTTTCATTCATGTTTATTTTTCAAAACTCTGCTCCGCCTCGGGTAATAATTACGTTCTAATAAGTTTCTACTTTTTTTCAAAATGTATATGTCATAATGTATGTTAATATTTTGCCTTTTTTTTAATATATGTACATAGTATTATTTTGCAGTTAAGCTCCGCCCCTTGGTCCACGACGAATAAAAAAAAAAATCATCACAATTGAGACAGGGTGGGTGGGCGGGCTTACATTTTGCCTTTTTCTTTTAATATGTGCATACTTCTTTTCACAACATGAAACTTAAAACATGTTTAAAATGGCAAATTTGTGTAAGGAAATTTCAATTTTGCAATTAGGCTCCGCCTAATAATTGCAAAATCCATATTTCCTTGCAAAAATTTACCATTTTAACCATATTTTAAGTTTATTGTTGTAAAAAGACGGCCATGTATATTAGAAAAAAAAAGAGGCAAAATATAAGCCCCGCCCATCCGCTCTATCACAATTCTGGTGATTTTTTTTATTCGTCGTAAGCCGAGGGGCGGAGTTTAATTGTAAAATACTTATTTTTCTACGAAAAATTGCCATGTGAAATATGTTCTTAAGTAATCGTGTTATACAAAGAAAACTAAAATGTATTAATTAAAAAGAAAACCAAAAGAAATGATTTTTTTATTCGTCGTGAGCCAAGGGGAGGAGCTTCATTACAAAATCCTTATTTCGCTACAGGAAAGAAAAAAGATGTTTTTGAGTATCGTGTTGTTCAAAGAATACCATGTATATTAAGAAAAAAAAAAAGGCAAAATATAAATTTTTAACTGTCAATGATTCTAATACAATTTAACTGCAGTTAAATTTAAGTTTAAACTACTCATTTAAAACACATAACGGGAAACTCACTTATTCCGGGTTAACCTTTCCTTAACACTAATGTCTAGAGTTCTGGTCGGTTTTACCTAAGTTATTAAATTTCCACACTGCATAAATTCTCATCCGAGATTTAAAATAGTTCATTAATGGCATTTAAACTATTCTTGAGCGGTGATCCGCTTTGGGAGAAAGGGCCTTGAAATGTTTAATTAATGTCGTGGACTCGAAAACGGGGAGGGTGTTAATAATACATACACTTTTGTATTAATCAATAATTTGCCATCCTGTAAAATCTTTGTTGTTTAAAAACCTTGATAGAGTGTGACGTAATTAAATGTTGCTTGTTCTTTTTCTGGATATTCTAGTAGATACTCGCTCAGTTAGCGTTCTACGTTCTAGAAATATAGGATTTGAATGACAAAAGCGGAACACACGATAGAGCGTATAATATGCGGCAGGTTTTTTGGGCATAAAAATGTAGTGTGTGTTGTACCTGTCTGTCGACGCCTATGTGGATTTTTATTAGACACGCAACATCCGAAACTACTGGACTGATTGTTGTAGTAAGCTTTTGTTTAATACTTGACTGGAAGTTCTTTTTATAAAGATTACTTAATACAGTGCTTGACATTTACATGTTTGTCAAAAACTGATATTGTAACAAGTTTAGAACGCAAGTGTTCACGAATCTTTATTTTTCAGACGACTGTTTTCCGTTAGAAAATATTTGGTCTAGTAAAAACACTCCTCAGAAAAATTAATAAAAATTTATTGATTCATTTTCTTAATTAAAATCTTACTACCAGCTGAAGTCTGCTTCATCAACACCTTCTGGCGCTCCTGTAACTTCAGCTTAAGTTTCTCCTGTACCTCTTTTGTACAATTTTCATAAATCGCCACCAACAAAAAGCACCCCCGGTTTAAACTTAACCACGTCTTCAACTAAAAACGCACAAAATGTTAGTCAATCAATAACCAAAAGCACAAACTTACCGTTTCTTTTGGCAATGACTCAATAACACAAGCCCCAAAACACGAATTTTGATCTTCAACGTTTTGGTCATGTTTGGCTAATTTTTTTAAAAGCATGTGAAGTCCTGCATCTTCAACACCTAAAATCTCTTCTTCTTTAGCTTTAACTTTCCACTCTGGATTAACTATCACTTTGACTATGCTTTCAATGGCGTTGCGTAGAGCATCGCCAGTACCCGCTTTCAATATTGCAAGCATTTCATAGGCTAGAGACGAGTTTTTAAGCCAGAACTCTGGTTCCTCAGCTATCAATTTTAGTAAAGTATCTATCGAATAGTCCAGTATTTCTTTCCTCCTGATTGCACAGTCTTTCTTAGAGTTTGAATTTTTCCTTCCTTCTTCAAACTCTTTAACAAAGACAGGGTGAAAACAAGTGGAGTCTGCTGGTGCCACCAACCATAGCAAAACCTTGCGCCCCCATTCATTTTCAGCCAGATCTCTCGCGGCGTTTAAAATTTCGCTTAAAATAATTTTGTGGAGCAGAACTGTGTCATCTGCTGTGTCTAACAACGTGATAATAGTGCAGTGACCATGTTCATGTTTCGATAATTCAATTGTGTGTTCTTTTATTGTTTTCATGGCATGTTTTCTGTCTTTGTTTGTACCATGCCAAATGCACTGCATGGCAGCTCTCACTCCATCTTTACTGTTGCTTATGACCACAATATGCGGAATTAACAGTGAGATTAAATCGGCTCTATCTTCAGCAGAGCACTCAGTGAGATACTGGTGAAGAACAGTCTGAACTAAACCTGAATCCAGCAGACTTTTATCTATGATTCTCGACAGATTAGCTTTTGTGGTAGCTAAAATTGCCGCTTTTAAATCAGGACTTTGTTTAAATACGTCCCTCAAGTGTCTAATTTCATTGTCTTTGCTAGTTCGGTAGATTTCTCCAAAGAATTCTTGTACTAAGTGTTGTTTCTGTTGTGGAGTGGCCCAGGTACTGTACGCATACTCAAAAACAGAAGCACTAATGGCATGACTGGCGAACTTCACAGCATGTCCATACATTTTATCAATAATAGCACTTCTGGTTTTGCTGTTTCCATACTTGAGGAGTCTTTTTGTACAGAAGATTCCATACTTTGATTGGAGCATGTCCACAGTGACCGGAATAAGTTCCTAAAACACAAGTTTCATAATCACACAAAATAAATAAATAAATCATACAAGTACCTCTGAAATTTGATTCTTCACTATTTCCGAGCTGTATTTCAATAACCACTGCACTATTCTTGATGTATCATGCGCCAAAACAAACTTAGCATAGTGACCCTGCCCTTTGAGCAATAAATGTAGCTCGTCTATCAGCTTGTTTCGTTCCTCTTCGCCCCCTTTCAAGGTCTTGCAACGCAACTTTTCACCCATTTTCTTCGCTTTAACAACAATATCGAATCCGCTTCTACCTTGCCTTCGTTTCAACCTCAACTCCTTTTTTTTCTTTTTGAATTCGTTCCAGTCCTCCGGTTTTTGAGTTTGTTCTGTTGTTTTACCCTTGCCATTTAGGTGTTTGTGGGGCTTCTTTTGCTCTCCTTCGATTTTCTTTGGGAATGTGGATTTTTTCTCAAAATTTTGTTTCTCGGTTTTGACCTCGACTTCCGAATTGGATTTTTTATTTTTCTTGTTTGCGGTGGTATCACTTTCAACGTTATTTTGTCGCTTACCCATTTTATTAAGTATTCAAATTACAAAAATCTGCAGCAACTTACAAGATCAAACACATGTGTTTTTTTGAGGTTAGGTTTGCCTAGTTGTCATTTGTCTAAATGAGAAAGACGGATTCATACCACGTGAGAAAGACAAAGATAAGTAGATAACCAAAAATGGCGGTTTATTTGAATTAATAAAACTAAAGTTACCATGAACGATTTTTTTAAAGTACTAGTACTCATCACTAACAAAGATAAAACGGTGAATCAAAGCGACTCTTAATTGGATATTGGTTTAAACATGGCGTGAAACCTTTATTTCAACAGACAAAAAAATAATCTGATGTCTTAATTTTATTTATTGCTATTTACAATTACATATTAAAAAAATTGAAACCAATCCTTAAAATAATAAAACCATCCGTTTACCCCGAACATCCTCGGCATCCACAATGCACGCACTCGACGATGCGACCCTACAAAAAAAAACCGTTATTACAACATTTCTAACACAAATTAAATAAAACCCACCTCTTCTAATTTGCCCTTGGGCACCCTACAAATACAATTCGTCCCAAAATTTGTGTCCCTGGACTGAATACACCTTAGACAACACAGATTCTCATAACCTTGTTTTTTCCACTTGGCGATTAAATTTTTATCGGCAATGTTTTCAGTGAGGCAGTAATCATACAGCTCTCGACTGATCGCTTTTCGTCTGTAAAACAAGTCGTAAATGTATCGCGACTTCTGGTGGTGGATTTTAAATATGGGCCACAGAGATTCGTTTTTCCTCTTGCCTTCGTGGGACTCAGTTTCAGCTAAAACGGTTACAGTCAGTATCAACGCATCTGTGACGGGTCATCTGGGACTTACCTTCTCTCATTTTTTGTTCCAACTCATCGAGGGTTGGTTCGATGAGTTCCCACCCCTCAGGAGGGGCTTTTTTGCTTCGACGGACTTTTGGCATGTTGGGTTTTTCTAATTTAGTCAATTAATTGTGAATGTTGCTATTGTTGACAGGGGAAGCGACAAGTTGAGGTTAGAAACGGAGGAGAAACGTCTCGAATACAGGATTGCCAAGCCTCGGCGTAAAAGCACTAAATATTAGTATAAAAATTACTAGAAATCACCAAATTTGAATGAAGGTGAACAAATTTCTAAATAAAATAATAATTAATAACCACCATTCATTACATTACTGGTACAAAACTTTAATGTTTGTCTTTTTCGACAATTTAAATTTTTTGATTAATAATAGTGCATAGCGTGCATAGCCTTGAGAATGCACCAATAAAGGTAGCGAAACGTCGGCAAAACACAGAAGATAATAAAACATGACCAGCGGATAAGTACTTAAAGCCACAATCTAAAAAATTATGGTACTAATTAAAAGTAAGTGTAACTGTGGGGGTGGTAACCCAAACATTCCGCCAAAATTTGACATGTGAACAAAATTCGGAAACCCGCGAAACATTTGAAAAATGGCCATCAATTTACGACACAAAATATTATGATTATTCTTCTTAATATATATAAATCTCGTGTCACAATGTTGGTCCTCAATGGACTCCTAAACCACTTAACCGATTATAATAAAATTCGCACACCATGTGCAGTTCGATCCAACTTGAGGGATAGGATAGTTTAAATCTCAAATTATAGTCGCAATTTTAATTTATTGCTAATTATTTGTCTGCTATTATTTGACAGTCACAATTATCTGTTAACTCCAAATGATTCTAACAGATGTCGATACCTTTCGACTGGGTTTCTAATATTTAAACGATTAAATTATTATTGTCAGTCAAATGCCAGCGAAAAAATCTAACCTCAACAACGCGAGCAGCAAAGGGTCACGACGCAAACGTGTTGAAAGAGCTCAGCAATTACCAGAACAAATCGAAACAAGAAATGCAGCTGAAAGAATCAGGACTGCAGAAAGTCGTGCACAAGAATCTCAAGAACAGCGTGACGAACGTCGGCAACAGAATATTACGAGAACAAGAGCGGCACGAGAACGAAACATAGCTACAGTACAAGTACTAGATCGACAAAGGCAACGGATCAGCCGCTCATTAACACGTGCATCATTCGTTCGGCTTGCCTTTGAATATGCACCAGATATTAACTACTCAGCGCATTCAAAAATTGCTATCGGTGGAATGGATAAAGTATGTCAATATTGTCAGGCATTGAAATTTCGGAATGAAGCAGCCGGCATGTGCTGCGCATCAGGAAAAGTTGTGCTGTCACCTCTACCCGCTCCGCCGGAGCCTTTATTATCCCTTCTTACTGGCAATTCAGATGATTCCAAATTATTTTTGCGTAAGATACGCAAATTTAATTCTTGCTTCCAAATGACGTCATTTGGGGCAACTAAAATTTGCGATCGTGCATCCGATGGACGTAATTTTGAAACTACATTCAAAATTCAAGGCCAGGTGTACCATAAAATCGGATCACTGATGCCAATGCCTGATAACAATCCGAAATTTCTTCAAATTTATTTTATGGGCGATTGTGAAGAGCGCGTGACGACTCGGTGCCTGTATAATTTTATTGAACAAGCAGAGGAAAGAGCAATTGTGATATTATTGTAAAATTTTTTAGAAGATCACAATCAACTAATTCAATTGATCAAAAGAGTTTCGCCACGACTGCAAAATGACAATTATCAAATCGTCATAAAAGCCGACAAAGTACCATTAGGTGAACATGCTGGTAGATTCAACGCTCCAACTGTTGATGAGGTTGCTGTTATCATGGTTGGTGATCCAGTTGACAAAAGATCTATAAAAATTACACGGCGAGACAACACTGTCAGTACGATTTCGGATCTACACCGTTCATATGACGCACTACAATATCCATTGATATCTTGGCAAGGACAAGATGAATATCACCTTAATATCAAACAGTATGATCCAAATACCGGTAAATTTGACAATTATCTATTTACTTTCTTATAGATTTTAATTTCGTATTGCATTTTATTTTTTATTTTTTTAGGTGATTACAGAAATAATAAAGTTAGCTCAATGAACTACTACGCACACCGAATAATGGTTAGGCAACATCAAGACAATTATATCCTTCGATATCGTCAGCTGTTCCATCAATACATTGTTGATATGTATGCTAAGGTCGAAAGCGAACGCTTGCGATTCCTTCGATTCAATCAGGCAAAACTACGATCGGAAGAATATATTCACTTACGAGATGCTGTTGCTGGAAACATCGATGGAAATTTAAATCCCAATGACATCCAGTGAATTTGTATACCAACATCAACATTTTCGTCTTTGTTCGTAAATAATTTCATTGTACTAAAGGGTTATAGTAGTAGAAAGTCAAATAAGGAGATCACCATATTTTTTTACAAATACCATCTGTGTGAAAAAGCATAGTGGACTCCGTGACTGATGTTCTCTTATTGTTCCTCTTAGATTGTTTACTATAATGTAATATAACAAAAACTTTAGCCACAGCAACGCGTGGCCGGGTCAGCTAGTTATTATATAAATTTCGCGCAGTGGTAAAAACCTATTATGCTCATCAGAAGGAACAAAATGCAGCAGCTACATGATTACTGCTTGTCTCGTAAGAGAAGATTGTTCTCGTTAGTCATAGAAAACCCTACAGCTTATTCAGCTGTCTCAAAAAAATTAATGACCGAGTCAATTTATTTTCTTGATTAAATCAAGAATTGCAAAACTCAATACTTTGAAATCTTGCAGACGTTTTAAAGTTATTGCAATCATGGTAAGTTGTTAACCAAAATATATCTGTTTATTCCCCCGAAAAAAATGATGACGTCGTCTCCAAATTTTGTCGAATAAATTCTACCCAAAATGTACAAAATATGATGAGTTTGAAACACTTGAGCATTAGATTGCTATTACCAAGTGTTGAAGGTGGAACGCTAGACGAGAGACAAGTTTGAATTGGGCGCCATTTGTTTCCTTAAACGCAACCAGCAATTCTTCTTAAAATCTACCTGACGCGCTGGGATAGACGACTACCGGACGTGGGTCATAAAAGCATGTAAGCCGATAATGCAGAATAATGATAATTTATGACAGGCGGCCCACAAACATACCTTTAGCACAGAATAATCATTTCTCGTATTCTTTTGACATATTAATTTTAATATTCGTGATAATTATTATATTATTCAAACACAATTTAGACACTGTAGAGCAACCAAGGCTTATCAAGCCCGTCTAATAGTTTATTCGCCTAAATGTATTATTAATACCGTTTTCAAATTACACCAATACTGAAAAATCGAAAACTTAATAATTGAAAAATTGAAACATTTTAAATGAAAAAAATTGGTAAACCGAAAAATTGAAAAATCTATAAATCGAGAAATTCAACAATCTAAAAATTAAACAATTTAAAAATCGAAGAACTGGAAAACCAAAAAATTTAAACCGAGAACTTGAAAAATCGGGAGATTAAAACATCAAGGAAAACAAAAAAATTAACGAAAAATCTAGAACTTAAAAATTGAAAAATTAAAATACCTATCGAAAAATTGAAAAACCGAAAAATCGAAACATCAAAAAATGGAAAAATTGAAGAACCGAAACATTGTAAAATCTCAGAACTGAAATACTGAAAAACTAAAAAATGGAAGGAAAATTGAAAAATCGAAAAAGTGAAAAAATTCAAAACTGAAATCTTGAAAAACTGAAAAATGGAAAGAAAATTGAAGAATCGGAAAAGTGAAAAAATCCAAAACTGAAACATTGAAAAATCCAGAAATCGAAAAATTGAAAAATCACAATTGAAGAAAGAATTGAAAAATCAAGAAATAGACAAATGGGAAAATCAAAAAATCAGTTAATCGACAAATTGAAAAATCGAAAAATTTAGAAACGTCAAAAATTGAAAACTGAAAAATAAAAGAATTTAAAAATCGTAAAACTGAAATATCGTAAAATTAATAAATTGAAAAACTGAAAATTTTTGAAAAAAAAATCGTATCAAAAACTAAAAATTCAAAAAATCGAGAAATTGAACAATCAAAAAATCAAAAAATTGAAATCCCAGTAAGTTGATAAATAGGAAAATTTAAAAAACAAAAATTTTAAAAATCCAGGAATTGAACAACAAAAAAAATTTAAGCCTGAAAACTCAGAAAATTGAATGATCAAGAACAAAAAATCTAAAATTTAAAAATTCGACAAATTGAAAAATCATGGAACTGAAAAATCGAAAAGTCGTGATAGTGAAATCTAAAAACCTAAAACTTTAAAAACTGAAAAATTAAAATATCGAAAAATTTAAAAACCGAGAAAACACAATATCAAAAATTTGAAAAATTGAAGAAACGAAATATTGCAAAATTCCAAAGCTGAAATATTCAAAAACCTAAAAATGGAAGGAAAATTAAAGAATCGAAACAGTGAAAAAATCCCAAACTGAAACATTGAAAAATTGAGAAATGGAAAAATGGGAAAATAAAAAAAAATGGTCTAAAGAGTTTAGACAGTACTTCCCTCGCTATCGGAAACGTGACGACTGCATGCCTATTATGTTTTTTTTTCACATTAGATTTCAAAGCATTCGGTTTTGTAATTCCTGATTAAATCAATAAAATAAATTTGCACATTCATTAAATTTTTTGAGTCACCCTGTATATGCAAATCCAAAAAACATGAATGGAATGATAAATCACAAGAAGAGACTCGTCATATTTTATACAATTTAGATAGGATTTATTCAGCAAAATTTTGAGGTGACGTCATCAATTTTTTAGAGGGGATAAGTAAATATATTGTGATTTAAACGGCCCTGGTTTAATAACAAAAAAATATTGTTCGTCTATAAAACAAACTCGTCTTAGACAAAGTATTCGTAAAAAAAATATGTCGTAAAAAAATTTACGTATGCTGGTCCCGACTGCGATTATGGTTTAAATATTTTTTAGAAAACCCTGTCATGGATGTAGAAACATTTGTGACAGCCAAAGAGGTTTTTTTGAGAAAATTATCTTTGAATTTAGACCAAATTGAAATAGACACTAGGCAACAGGCACATATGGGCAAAAGAAAGAGAAATTAGGGTTACGGCTTCAAATTTTGGACGTATTTACAAACTTAGACCGACTCCAGCAATAGCTAAAACTGTGGAGTCTCTGTTGTACAGTACACTTAGAGGCAATAGTCATACATACTGTTACCGGGCCAACATTTGGAGGCCTGATTAGTGCGATCATTAGGTTAAGGAATTAGATAAGTTGTTTTATCCAAATAATATTTAAGCATGTCCGCTAATCGGAGCGCGGCTGCGACAGCAGCCGCATATAAGATACGTAAAATTAGAGCAATAGGCAATAGGCAGTTGAGTCGTGGGTTTCAAGGAAGTCTGTTGTCGTCAGTGCTCGCCCCGGCGGCTAAACGGCCAGACAACCCCAATAAACCGTACCTTCTTTTTTCATCGAGGCTTTTATTCACGAAAAACCCCGTGCTCAGTTTTTTGCCGTAGCAAGCAAAGCACCCACACCGGTTCTTTTCAGAACCCCATCACCCAAGGGCACTCCGACACCCTGGAACAAAGTCGGCGTACCGACGCGGGTTAAGGACCGGACGCTTCCTCGCTGGAATCGCGAGCTCGCGACGACCCGGTCCCGTAACAATACTATGGACAGCAAAGTGAGGAAAAAGCTGTCAAGTGTTTTGAAATAAATGAAAATATAAAAACTGAACGGTGTGGCTTGTTTATTTCAAAACAATTTCCTTACTTGGCTGCTAGTCCAGAGTCCAGACAGGGTTTTAGAGGATAGGAGTGCATTAGTCGAAATTAAATACCCTTCAAAATCGCAAGATTTGTCTCCCGAAGAAGCGGTTAGAAAAAAAATAATCAAATTTTGTACATTGACAGACAGAGAATTGAAACTAAAAAAAAAATCATGATTACTACTTTCAAGTCCAGGGACAAATGATTGTTACGGATATTTCACAAGTTTATTTTGTTGTATGGACACCCAAAGGAATAAATACAGGGTGTCTCAGAAATAAGTACATTAATTTTAACCAGTAACAGAACTCGTGAAACGGAACAACTTTTTTATCTAGCATTTTTTCGAAAACTCAAGTTGAATTTCGAATTTTCCCACCCATATATTCACGAGCCGTCTATGTTCACCTTAAATAATAACTTAAATAATAGCAACACTACAACAATGAAGAAGGTACCGTAGCAACCGTTTTGACACTGACAATCACTTTTATGTCAATGTTTTTATTAAACGTTGTCTCTTTAAAGTTTGTGTGGCACAGATTTCTAATTTATAGACGAAATGTGTTGAAATGGCTTTGTTTTCAAATCTGGAATGCACCGATATCGTTTTAACGTACGGTGAAGCTCGGAGAAACGGCACTCGCGGCCAACGAATTTTTTCAGAAAACCTCCCAAATCGTCGTCTGCCAAATGTACGCAGTTTTAAGAACGTTGTAGCATTTTCGAGAGTACTGATCTTTTAAACCTGTACCTCAGGATCGGGGTAAGTTACGTAGTAATAGAATTGCTAATACTGAAGAGGCTGTTTTGAAGAGTGTCGAAGCTCGACCGGGCACTAGCACGTATCACTGTCTAGTGTGATGTATCGGAGAATAGTATTTGGAGGATACTCAGAGAACAAATGTACCCCTTTCAGGACCAGAAAGTTCAGTTATTGAAACTAACAGACTTACCACGTAGGCAAAACTTTTGTAAGTGGGTTAATAGAAAAATAAACGAACAAGCAAATTTTGTATCTCTTATACCATCAAGTGATGAAGTCGGTTACACGAGGGAAGGTGTTCAACACCCACATTTGGGCCAATGAAATTCCGTATGCCATTAGGGATCAGGATTTTCAATTTCTCTCTAAATGTTTGTCACATTGACACGATTAGGAAAATACGTATCCTAGTAACTGTTTTTGACCATACATTATTAATTATAATAATTATTAGTGTCCATGGGTGACTAAGGATCCATGGGCGGGTAACCTTAATTGGGATATAACTTTAACAATTTTTAACTTGATAATTAAAAAGTTCTTGACAAAACTCTACTAAAAAAAGTTGTTGAGTTCAATGAGCTCTATAACTGATTAAAATTAATGTACTTATTTCTGAGACACCCTGTATAGAAAAAATTTATAAAGACGAAGAAATATATGTAAAAACTTGGCAGATTTTACTTTGGCGCATTATTGCCCGAAATAATTGATTCAAGAAGAAAGCGGAACCTGCCTTTGCGAGAGATTTTTTTAAAATAAATAAAATTTGTTTCTATTTTTTTATGTACTTTAGTAATTTATTAGGAGTACATTTTTCATCACCAAGACTTGCATATTTTTATTATAAATATATTTTGAAAATGATCTCTCGGCAAATGAAAACATATACGAGCACTTTTTTCGAGTAAACAATGAAGGGAGAAGTTACTGGGCGTAGGGCTTTTTTAAAACACCTTCTTTCTGGGATAAGTAGTAGATACAC